GCCCCATCTTGTCTCTTTAAAGAGATTTCCTTGACCGGGCTGTCTAAATTATAATAAATCCCTCTTCTATGTCCCAGAATGCTTTTTATGTAAAACCTATTTATGTTCTTCCTTACTTAATATCCTTATATTTAAAAGAATAAATGGATGATACTCTGGGAAGTTTCAAGAACAGAACAAATTATTCACCTTGAATTAACCAGCAATGAGATCCCTCATCTAGAACTGAAGAGGAACTATTTTTGTTTCTCCAGTCTTATGACTGGAGGTGAAGAGGGTGGTGGGGAGACAGGCAAGAGAGCAGCTAATGGGTCCTACTTCTCTGAGCAAGCAGGCAGGCTTTATCCCCTGCTTAGAGATTAGACTGATAAGACTCCAGGATCTCCTAGAGGGTGATCTTCCTGGGCCAGTCTGGTCCTCTGAGGCTGGTGGCAGCACAGTCTGGAATGGGGTGGGGTAGGCAGAACACATTGCTCTGAATTTCTGATGTACTATCAGTAGAGGGTCTTTTCTCACTTCTCAGTTCTCCTTTATAAAGTGTATTTTCTGTGAAGGGAACACTGCTTTCTCTGGAGAACTCTTAATTCCTGGAGGAGTAAGCCATTGAAGCCTGCATGGAAACACCCACTCATTTGCAAATTGGCAAACAGACTCTCCCACAAAGTAGAAGAAGGCTTGATTCAGGGCTTAGAGGAAACAATGGAGCCCATTTAACAAAGCCAACATTTAATGAACTCAAAACAATGTGCTTCAAAAAATAAGTTAATAGAGCAGCCTTTTAAACTTTTATGCATGCTTATTAGCTTGATTTTTAAAGTATCATCTGATCACTCAGTAAGAATTTACTGGTTTGTTTTATCATCATGATTAATCGCCCATATGATTTCTTAGCGATGAATGAAAATGTTGATTGGAATTTTGCAAATGACAACCTTTTGATGTCTGGGCCAGCGTTCACAAATCATACAAGACCTTCCGATAGAACAGGTGCCTTCTGTTGGCTGGCAATTTGCAAAAGAAAGATACAGGGGAGACAAGCTCCCCTTTCAGATGAGTCTGCCATAAAATTCTTTTTATTGAACTCTTGCTAGATCCTGGGATTGTGAAAATCTTCCCATCGGTTTTATTTGTGTTTTATGGAGAAATAACAACGTGTCTCAGGGGGAGATGTTGCTTTCGGATGCCTCCCAGTGGCACCCCTCTGACTCCATCTTCATCTGAGGATGAAGGGGAGGAGTGTTGGAAAGCAGAGTGGGGATGGGGTCAGGCAGTGGAATGGTGGGTAATTACCAGGAAAAAAATAGGAGCCTCTTACCTTTTATCAGGGCAAGTATCAAATACTGTTTGGCCCAAGTACATTTTGTCCCGTTCTGTTTCTTATGCAAATGCAACATCTAGAAACCAGCCTGCCACAAAAGTTGACTCCGCTTCCCAACTTTATTCAACTTGCCCTCGAAAGGAGTATCATGTACCTGATTGTTAGCTGGGTCCCCCCTCCAAGAAATTGTAGGCGAGATTTTATCATTATCAGGCTTCTCTAGAAATCAAAAGCACCTGCTCTTTGTTCAGGTGGGCTTCTAAAGAGAAAAATATTCCCATTAGAAAACACCCAGAGTTCATATGGGAACGCTATTGATATGCCCTTCCAGCCCGAGGATACCAACCTCAAACAAATAAACTTCCCGGCAACGACCCGTATTGAACATTTACAATGTGTCAGGCACTGTGCTAAGCAACTGAAATGTATTATTTCATTAGGTCCTTGCAACAGTTTAGGTGATAGGAAGCCTATTTTATAGATTTGTCAACTAAAGGCTTGGGAAGGTCAAGTTACTTGCTCAAAATCACACAATTGGAAATGTGACAAGGCCATGACCTCTTAATTCCAGAAGCTGTGCTTTTAGTTACATATGACATAATTTAGCACTGATGACAATAATGTATATTATCTAGCAGTGACCCACTCCTAATAGGCCCCCCCCTTGGGGTTTCCCAAACAGAACGAAGCATAAGATGAAAGTCTTCCCTGATGCTGTGCCCCTGTTGAAGAAAAGAAAGCATGTCTATGCAAGCCCATTTAGAGCAGGCCCCCCCTTATCCAGTTTCGCTTTCCATGGTTTCAGTTACCCATGGTCAACCACAGTCCAAAAATATTACATGGAAAATTCTGAAAATAAGCAGTTCCTAAGTTTTAAATTTTGTGTGTTTGTGAGTGGTGTGATGAAATCTTATGGCATCCCACTCTACCCCAACATGAACTTGAACCATCCATTTCTCCAGCATCTCCACACTGTATATGCTGCCCACCCCTTAGTCACTTAGCAGCCATCCAGGTATCAGATCTACTGTCACAGTATCACAGTGCTTCTATTCAAGTCAACTTTATTTTACTTAATAATGTCCCCAAAGAGCGAGAGTAGTGATGCTGGCAATTCGGGTATGCTAAGGAGAAGCCATAAAGTGCTTTCTTTAAGTGAAAGGGTATGAAAGTATAGGAAAAAACATAATATATACTGGATAGGGTTTGGTACTATGTGTGTTTGGGGGCATCCATTCAATGGGGGTCTAGGAACAAATCTCCTGTGGATAAGGGGGGACTACTGTATAGCTCACTTAATACTCTGAGTAGCACTATATCACAGACATTATCATATCCTTTAAGGAGAGGAGGAAATGAAAGCTCACAGAAGCTAAGTAACTGGCCCAAGAACACACCGCTAAGAAGTGGTAGAGCTGGGCTTTTGATCCCAGGCCCAACCGCTGTGTCTATCTGTCCAGTCTGGCCCTAAGCTGCTTCACAGCGTCTTGCAGAAGCCCATCAGACATTTCCACTGGAAGACAGGAAAGGACTAGAGGGATCATTCCTTATGCAGCTAGACTGTTTTGGGTCACTGAGGCTTGGTTTACTTGTTACTTCCTCTGTTAAGCATGTTGATTCTCCCTTTTTTCCTCTTCACCACCCCACATTCCCAGTACAGACTTCCATCGCTCTACACATCTCCTCACCCACCCACACAGTTCCTAGTTCCACTGACTTGCCTGTGTCTTCCCAGAACCTAGTCCAGTGCCTGGTATACTATAAGGGCTCAATAAATGCTTTTTTAAGGAAGGCACAGCTCTCAGTGGCCCATGTGAGGATCAAACCAGCAACCTTGGTGTTATCAGCACAACGCTCTAACCAACTGAGCTAACCAGTCACCCCCTCAATAAGTGTGTTTAAAAATGGAGGGAGGAAAAAGTTCAGAGTTAGTGCTAAGCCTCAGGAAAGAGAAACTCAGAGAACCCACACATACTCATGAGGTTCAAGTGCCGATTTCTGCTCAGGTAGCAATGCTTGTAATGAACTATGGAGACAAACATAAATGTGCTGATATTTCCAGGCCACACTAACCTCAACCCTAGTTTTTTAAAAAAATAATACATTCCCTCCTCCTCCCCTCTTCAGCCCATTTCATCTTAATCCATAAAATATATTAAGTGTGTGTGTGTATTATACAATACACATATGTCTCATGTTACATGACTCTATAATGGACACTTTGTGGTACTTTTCTTTGAGTAACAGAAAAATAATTCAGGGATGAATACATGTTGTTAAAATTTGTTAGTTGTCTGTTCAAGTAATCTATTTATTTATCTAGTACTTTACAGTTTACAAGAGCCTCACCATCATTGCTCTCTCGCCCTGAGAGGTAAGCCCGGGGCTACAGCCTCCATTTACAGAGAAGGAAACTGAGTCACAGAAATTTTTAATGGCTTGCCATATGGTTATTTCCGCAATCCTTAGACACCATCATGGTAAGACATACCATCAATTTAACCCTAGGTTTTGAGGAAGTATGCAAACTCTACCCTATTCTGTATGCATATTAAAAGACATACCCCAGTGTGCCTGAGACATTAAATTATGTGGGCTTAGAAGGAGGGATATGTGTCCATAAAACTAAGGACATGTGATAAGTAGCAAACAATTGACTTAACCCAGTATTCTAACTCTGAGTCATTGTGTATAGATAATTTAGTTTCTCAGTTACATTATAAAGCCCTATTAGGCTGGGCATTTTTCTACACTGTTTACACCTGTCTCTCCAAGGGCTTAATATACAATATTTCTCAGTGAGAAATGGTCCTGCTTCCTCTAAAAATAAAAATTAAAATAAACCCTGATTTTTTATTCTTAAATTTCTGGGTGCTAAAACATCCCCAGGTGATATATTTGGAAGCTTCCCAGAAGAGCATTTTATCTGTTGTTTTTCAGTGGGATCTTGTTTGGTGATTAAGGACTGAATCATAAGATGGTCTTTCCAAGTTCCTTCTTCCAGTGTCACCTCTCTGGGAAACTAACAAAACTTTAGAAGCCTAGAGCTCCGCAATGAAAAGTCATATTTCTTAATGTGTTCTAGAGAAACTTCAGGATGAAACTCTAGAAGTTCAGAGTTTACTAAAACATATTAGAAGGGGGAAAAAAAACCCTGACCATGTTTGCATCACACAAACAGCCTAGTTGTTGTGTATCAGGTGTAACACTGCTGAACTTGAGTCTTCTCAAGTTCAAAGTTTAGGTAGCCTACATAAAAAAAAATAAGAAAGCAAGAAATTAAGCAGAGAAAGCAAGATGTAAAGAAAGAAAATTCCCCCCCTAGAACAGCACAGAAATTAGCTTTCCTCCAATCAGAGTTATATTTTTGTACGAGGGTGGGGGGATAATCAATTTTTAATTCCGATCCTGGTTGAAGTGGTTAAAAAAAAAAAAGAGGAGTTTTTCCAACTCTGTGAAGTAAAAGAAATGAGACTCAAGTGGCCGTAACTGAGCTTCCCATCGGATTATTGTGCAAGGTCCCCTTTATTCCCCCTACAGGGGATAATGCGTGCTCATTGTGATTTATCTGGAGCCGGTTTCTTTTACACCCTCGGCCTATATAAAGTCGAGCTAGGACTGGGGCTGGAGATCTGGGCAGCATCTGGGAGGCAGCATCCGCAGTCTGGAGAGAATGAAACAACTGGGAACATGAGCAACCGGATGTGCCATTGACGCTCCCAGTGGTATGAGCCTCACTTTTTTGCTTCCCAGCACAGACCAGGAACCATTAGAAACTGGACAAAGCACATTATGGAAATCCCTTGGAAATTCCCCCCCAAGGCTGTGTGTGCTGCTTTGTTCCCACCCTTGATTTTAATTGCTCACTTGTGTTTCTCACCTAGAATGATCGAGGCTCAGGCCCTGTCGGGACGGTGATTGTTTGGCCAGCTTGGTTTGGCCACCTGGCAAAGACCAGGTTCTGAGAAGCAATGGTGATAAGGGCCTTTGTCCTGCTGGCCGTCTTTGTGGAAGCCTCTGCGAAATCATGCACTCCAAATAAAGCAGGTATGCCCTGTGCTAGTCCATTTCCCTGGAAAGGAAAGTTTTCTAAAGCTTCCCTTTGCAAAGAAAGCTCAGAGCTCTGTGCTTATATTGTTTATGAAAATGCAACAATGTAGCACTTTAGCCTCCCAGTGCCAATCCAACTTTTACCACGGGAATTAAATATGCATTGGAGAAATTTAAGACTTTTTTAAAATTAGAGAATGCTAGATAGATGGATAGCAATAAAAATCTCCACATTTGTTTCTATTTTCTATTTGACTATTGAATTTTATCTTGTGCCATGAATTACTATTTCACAGCACTGTGCATGAAATGGAGACAGTTTTTAAGTTATGTGCTTGTTTTCTATGAGATTTAAAAAAATTTTATACACGTATTTTATATATATATATATATATATATATATATATATATATATATATATATATAATCTAGCTTCACAGATCTATTCCTTAAAATAGATTAAGATTTAAAAGTAAACTGATTTCAAATACATATTAAGTATAGTGCAGATATTACACAGATGTAGCAAAAACTATAAAAGTGGAACTTCAATGACTGAGGTTGGGGGAAAACTTTTGTCACAGCTCATGAAGAATAGCGAGAAAAGTGTTTTGTATGCTTAGGTGTGGCTGGAACCCACTTTTGTTTATGTAGAGTAATATGATTACCGTATCGGATTTCCAACCATGTGTATCCTCTTTCCAGATGTCATTCTTGTGTTTTGTTATCCCAAAACCATCATCACCAAAATCCCCGAGTGTCCCTATGGATGGGAAGTGCATCAGCTGGCACTCGGGGGAGTGTGTTACAATGGGGTCCACGAAGGCGGTTACTACCAATTTGTAATCCCAGATTTGTCACCTAAAAACAAGTCCTATTGTGGAACCCAGTCTGAGGTAAGTCGCAGCTACACAATGAGGAGTTGCTAAGATGAGACAAGTGGGACCCAGAATAAGACATCTACTGTTTACCCTTCAATGGATTTAGAATTCACCAATTTCCTTTTAAGAGTCAATCCTGACTCTTATTTCCTGGGATGTTGGTGTTATTTAAACTCTTCTCTTCGCCTAGTTTAAGTGACTCTTTGAATTTGAATTTTATTCTCCTACTTTATTGCCAGAGCCAGCTAGATCGCCTTCGATGAGTAGAACAATGTACCTTTGCCACCTCTACCTTGCTTTGAGTTCTGAGCTTGTGCTCATGAGCTGCCATTCTTCTTGGGTTGGATGGATGAGACATCCTCTGCCCCAGACTTTGAAGTGGTGATAACACGATTCATAATTGGGTTTTGTGAAATACCCAGGAAAGGTGATCAGAATTAAAAGGAACCACAGACAACCTTTTGTGAATATCTTATACGGCAGAGGAGAAATCTGAGACCTCCCAATAAAGTCACTAGTTTGGGGCCGCAGAATCGGTAGGAACGGAGTCATGAAAGGAAGCATTTCCACTGCTGCCATCTAGCATCCCTACTGCCTTGACTACAGGAGCTTGTACAGCAATTGGGTCTCAGGAAATGGGATGAAAAAGCTCTCGAGGTCGCCTCCTATTCCTTAAGGCCCCACAAGGATTCAGTGATTAAATAGAAAGAGTCACAGGCATGATTAACAAAAACATCATGTCTTTGAGAATCCTAGTAAAGTGAAAGAGAAATTATCCATATGATCTCAGGTAGGTCACTTCTCAAGTGGAAGTTCAAGTTCCCTCCCGGCTCTAATATTCTGTGATTTTAGCATTCAGCAAGTCAGTAATAATGCTCATGTTTGGAAGGATAGAGCAAAGAACTAGACAGTAATGTTCTAGAAATGGGAGATTTCTAGAAATCACCCTACATGGGTGAAGGTATTCACATAAGATTACTTGGACAAAGGAAATGGGTAAAACATTGATGTTGGGAAATAAAGATTCCTGAGCCAGGTCTTTGGGGTCAGAAGCTGAGTGAGTATATGGATTTCTTTTAAGTGTACAACATTCAACTGAGATTCTTTTCTTTTTTAAAGATTTTTATTGGGGAATTGGGGGATGGGAACAGCACTGGGGAATTGGGGGAAGGGGAACAGACAAGTTGCTGTCCTTTTGTTCTTCAATCTAGTTGTGGAGGACGTTGCTTCACTGGCCCAAGTTGGCACCATCATTGCACTCTTCCCGGGTGAGGCAGATCAGTCACTGGCTTCTGGGCAGCAGCTGCTGGTCACTCACGCTGGCTGCTGGCTACACACGGTAGTCCATGGCAACCTACTGCAGCAGGGGCTACAGCCTACGCTGTCGCCAGCGACTCATGGCAGCCCAGCTCCAAGTTGAACTCTTGTTCAGCATCTTAGCTGTAGAGGGCAGTGTCACTGGCCTTCATATGTGGGATCTGAACCGGGGCCCTCTGGTGTCCCAAGCCAGCTCTTAACCAACGCGCCACTCGGCCGGCCCTCAACTGAGATTTTTTAAATGATCTTAGTTGAACAGACTCGAGGACACTTTACAAAAATGATCGGACAAAAAGAGTGGGTGCTACTCTCAATGGTAGACATCCATGTCTCCCCATGGGGCTTTTTTCCTGAGCCATCTTCAATCACTGTTCCCAGAATCCTCATTCTCATCATGGGAGTACAGAGCTACCCTAACTACCTTCTTCCTTTCTCCAGTACAAGCCCCCCATCTACCACTTCTACAGCCACATTGTTTCCAACGACAGCACGGTGATTGTCAAGAACCAGCCCGTGAACTACTCCTTCTCCTGCACCTACCACTCCACATACTTGGTGAACCAGGCTGCCTTTGACCAGAGGTAAGTTGCTCTGAGAGTGGAGGGCTGGCTGCCTTGTGTGTGTTCTGCAGTCCCTGTCAATCAGGCATGTTTCAGTCCTTATGCAAAATTCTCTCCCCTTTTCAGAGTGGCCACTGTTCACGTGAAGAACGGGAGCATGGGCACATTTGAAAGCCAATTGTCTCTCAACTTCTATACTGTAAGTGGTCTTCAGGTTCCCATTACCGCCCTGTGGACTTTCCAGGGGATGATGGGATGTGTCCTCAGGGTTTGCTCTTCCCTAAGCTCTATGCAGAACCCCATTCTTAAATTTAAGTTGAGACAGAAACTTTGGTCTTGCTTTAACCCTCTTTAAAAACTAAATGCAGCAGAAAGGCAGACTTATAGATGAGACATAGGAGCTGAAAAGTACCACAGAGAAAAAGCAAAAGATCGACCTCCCCATTTTATAGGTGAGAGAATTGAAGCAAGAGAAAGCCGGTGAGTTGCCAAAGGTCAACAGACAGTAAGACAGCCAATGTCTTAACTCTTTATCAAGATTAGTTTCCACTACAACCCACTCTAGAGACTTATATTAGAATCTAGCTCTTGTTCAAACATTTGCAGAGTAGTGAGCTTCCTAGCTGGGATGGGGCTAAGAAGAGAGGTTGAGGTTGGCCTCTGCTGCCTGGTTCTTTGGTCTCCAAAGCCCTTCATTTAATGGGCTTCCTTGTTGTCTAATTGGGACATGTTGCCTATGTGGACATCAAAGCTAAAGGCACGTTGTGGTCACTCTCAAAATAAAGTCTCCAGAGAAACTAAAAAATGCAATGGCCATTAGCCCAACTGGCCTCCTGTTTAGAAGGGGTGCTTAGTTTTCAAGCCTGTGGCTTCCACTGAGGAGGCACACACGTAGTGACAGTAGCCCAGCTGGCTAGAGGAAGACTCAGGCCAAAATAGAAACCTTTACATAGAACATTATAACTAGAAGATATCCTTAGAGGCCATCGTTTTCAATCCATTCATTTCACAAAGAAAACCACTATGGTACCTGGAATGCTACTGACTTTGAACTCTTTAAACTTGCTTTACTTGCTCCATGGAATCTATTAGCCACGCTGAACTCAGAAGGTGAGAGCTAGAAGGGACCGTAGAATAACCCAGTCCATTTTACAGATGAGGATCTGAAGCCCAGAAGGAGGAAGTGATCTGCCCCAGATCCCACAGGGAGTTCGGAGCCGTGCCCAGCCTGGGACACAAATCTCCTAACTGCTCTCGGAGGCAGACTTACTATGAAGGGAACGAAGCAGAAGTCTCATGACCCCTTACTTGCACAGGCCCCTTTCAAGGCCGTGTGTCTAATTTTGTATTCAAAATTTTTATTCTTTTAATTAAGGAGGGCTCTCCAAATTACACAAGCTTCAAGGTCCCACAAAACCTCGATCTGCCCCTGGCCACACACCACTAGTGGTTACGTTCTGAAAAAAAGGAATTCTCTATAACCCCTTGACCTGTAATCAGGAAGGTTAATACAGCGTGGACCACCAGGGGGCCGAAAGGATGGCAAACCACTGTAGTAATTGACAGAGGTGGTTCAGAGACAAAACACAGGCCTCACGCATTGACAACAGTCCCTGATGACAGGCTGTCTTTACTACAGCGTCCCTGTCCGGAAGTGCGTGATTGTTACTTTTAACCACGTACAATTATAGATATGAGCCTATGAAGATTTTATGACAGTTGGAAATGGAGAGGCACCAGGATTGTCAAAAATCGAGACCCACCATCAGCCATGTTGAGCTAAGTTTCAGACATAAATATCAAATTTTAGAACTGGAAGGAACCTGTTCTTTTTTAAGAGAAAAAAATAAATTAAGACGCATGTCCTCAGCATTACCCAGGCTTTATCCCCTGGGCTGGATAGATAGACTTCAAGGATGCCTCCTTGAACTGTTCTAGAAATAAGGCTAAGGTCTCCCTTGGGGTCCATCAAGACCCTTACAGAACAGACTCAGCAAAGAGGGGGCTCTGATGTTATGACAGAGACTTTTGTACTCATTAATATTCCCACCATGGGCTCAGTTTCCTATTCCTGACCCACGCGATTGGTAGTTTTCTTCTCCTCCCTTATTTCACTTTGAGAGCCTTCTTGTGTGTTTCTGAAGCAACAGCCACTCCCTGCATATATTTCCATCAAATTACCAGCGACTGAGCTGTGCCCTAGATTGCACAATGGAATCAATGCACTGCTAATTACTTAGGATTCCAAGAGCTCCAAATGTTAGGCTCCCAAACCACCATGCTTCCACTTTTCTCTCTCTACCTCCTTCGCCTCACTCCTGCCAATGGTCCATGGTTGGTATTCTTGTCGAAAAGTTATTTTGATTCCCAATCCCAAATAAAGGAAAGTAGTCAGCTTGCAGAAGTAGCCTAGCACTGTGGGAGGAAAATAGATCTTGACATCAGACCACGATTTTGAAGCCTGGTTCTGCCATTTATTTACTAGTTGTGTGACTCTGGGCAAGTTTTAACCACTCTGGGCCTCCACATACACATCTGTTAAATAGGGATAATAATAGTACTCATCCTGTACATTTGTTATGAGGGTTAAAAGAAATAATCCTCGTGAATCCCTTACCACAGCGCCTGGCACAAAGTAAGTGCCTGTGAAAGTAGCCATTCTCACTATTTTAGCCTTTGATCCATTTAAAGTGGAAACTCTGAGAGCTCCTAGCACTAGCACTGTTACCTTTCTAGGACTGAATACCAACGTCAGTATGAGATTAAGTTGACTTATATCCAATAAAAATCGTACTGACCATTTCTCTTAATTAGAAAGAGACAAATAGAACAGCTTAGGATGGAACAAATGCAAGCAACAGAGTCCAAAATATAGACTGGAATTCCAGTCAGAACAAATCTCAGAGGTGATCAACCATGACCTTCCACCAAAGTCTAAAACCCTCCTGCAAGACTGCTGAGGGGTGGACTCCCCACTTCCTCCAAGGACAGTGGCAATCTGGGCCTTCCCATTTGAGATCAGCATATGATTTCTGACATCCTGAACTCAGGCCCATTGGTCCTGGTTCTGTCTTCTGAAATAATGCTGTGTAATGACGCTGCTGACAGTCCTTCAACTATCTCAAGCCTGTCTTTCCCAAGTGAAACATCTCCCCACTGCTAGTCCATGCATCATCTTAGTCACACTCTTCTCTGAGTAGGATCCACTTAGTGCCCCTATTGTAACGCAATATTGTGCCCCTATTGAAATGTTATATTCTTGACTTTGTCAGACTAATGCAGGGTGTAGTGAGTCAAAGGTGACCTTCTAGGTTCTAGAAGATTCTAGGAACATGTTCTAGGATATTAGCTTTGGGTAGTTTTCCTTCACTGCTGTCTCACATTGAGCTTGTGAGCAGAAGCAACTCCCAGATCTTGCCCACACGAACTCTATTAAAGTAGATGTACCCATCCTTACTTGTGTCTCTAACTAGTTGTGACTCAATCTTTTGGTCAGGTGAAGGGCCTGGATTGCATGACTTTTCAAGGTGCCCTTCCACCCTGTTCAATCAATGTGTAGTTTATCTGGTGTTACTATGTTTCTAGGGATGCCAGAGCAAACTCTATAGATATTACAGGGTGAAGCTATCTGGAAATAGGTCCCTCATTTTCATGTTATAAAGAAAGTAGGGGGATATCATGCCGAGGATTGCCTTAGCGATAGGGTGTGAAGTGAAGAAGCTGACCATTAAAAGTGTCTTGCTTCAGAAATTGAATTAGCAGTGTAGATTCTGTTCTCCACTTTGAAACAGAATCAGGCAGGTTCCCCTGGGAGCAGAGGCATTATTCCACTATGACAGTATTCTGCTGGCTGGCCCCTGGGAGATGGAGCTAGGAGAAGCACCAGTTGTGAGGTGGGGGACTACAGTACGGTCCCCGGGTTAGGTCCCACATTTGGAAATGGTCTCCTAAAATAGGACAAATCTCAGAAAATAACAAGGAACATTAAAAACCACTGTAAATCTGTGACTTCAAACGGCTGGTAAGTCACTTGTCATTAAGTACATTCTTGTTTAATTACTGCAACCATTTAAATGGGGCAAGGGGGCTGACACGTGGGAAGGAAACATTTGACTTCTAGGTCACAGTCCAGGAACCTTGGCCAGACTTGCAATCAGTAAAATAATGTGACAGTCACTAGAAGATGATTCTGGGCCCTCTGGGCAAATTCCCTGAATTTGACCTTTAGGGGGTCAAAGTCCATTTTAACTAGATATCTTTACTGCCAGTGTTTACCTATTGCAGCTCTGCAAATCTCCAAGTCCATGAACCTCAAACTTCTAACTAGTATTATGGTTTCAGCTTTATGCTTTTATTACATAAAAATCACCATCATAAAAAGATTTCTACAAGGCCGGTGGCGGCAAAGGTTATTCCCTTTTTGCTGATGGCAAAACTGAGGCCCAAAAGGCTGATTGTGCATCCCACATTAGTGATGGGAGCTAGGATTAGCCCAGGAGCCCTTTCCTTCCATCATGAGTTTTTGTCTCTGGAGGCTAAACTGGGAGAGTAGTTAAAGGTCGTGGCTCGAGTTAAATGAACCCAAGACACAAAGGATGGAGAAATCAGCATCCATCAGGTAAGTCAACAGTAAACACAGCTATTATTCCTAATCACTCATCCAGAACTGCCTGATGAAGATGACAGTTGAGGGTGACACATGCCAGGCCATGGACCAAAGGCTCTGCTTCTGTGCTCTAGTCATGCCATGGCTCCCTATTGCATTTAGAGTTGAAACCAGCCTTCTGGGTCTATCTCCATAGCCTCTCTAACTTCATCTCCTGCTCCCCCCACCCCCACTCACTTCCTACCTTCCCCCCATGTTCCCCTTTTACTCAGTCATACGCCAGCACTGGCCTCCTTACTGTCCTGCCGGCCACTCTCTGACCCTCTCACCCCAGGGCCTTTGCCTTGGCTGAAGCACCCTTCCTGGGACACCCTCGTGCACTACAGAAGTGTTTCTCAGTGTCAGAACTTAACCTGGAAGCACAGGCTTCGTCCCCTCCCTGAAGTCTTGGTTCAGATGTCACGTCCTCAATGAGTCCTCCCCAACTATTCTATTTACAACTGCAGTTTATGCCCCCTTGGACTCCCAATCCACCTTCCCCTGCTCTAATGTTCTGTAGTGTTTCTATATAATGTACTATAGTCGATTCCAGCACATTGTAGTGTTTACTTTTTTATTGTCTATGTTCTGTCTCCCCTGCCAGAATGTTGGGGGGTTGGAGACAGAACTCTTTGCTTTGTTGCCCAGTAATCTCAACAGACAGAACCTCCTGATAGAGAGATGAGCCCAATAGAGAGAGCAGTCCCTGACACACAGTCGGTGATCAGTGAGTTGTCAGCTGTACTGGGAATTGGGTCAGAAACGTCCCCACCCAGGCTGGAATCTGCTCAGGCAAACAGTAGAGGAGTACGTACAAAAAGCGCGGTTGTATGTGTTTGGTTCCCATGCCCTTGGGTAAAGCACATTCCTGGACTTCACCCTGGCTCCATCAGCCAGGTCTTCCTGTGCTTTGGCACAGATGAGACATCTAGTGCGTGTCTCACTGTGACCAGCAAATCCACCTGTGACGTCCTCATCCCTTCCAAGGTGGTACCAGCTTTGCTGGTCCTGGAGGTTTCTCACTATGACCTCATGTGGCTGTGCCCTTTGGGTTAATTCCTGCCCACACCCCCACCCCAATTCATCTGCTCCTGTGGGACCCAACTGCTCAGTCTGAGAGGTCGTAATGCCTAGTGTCCATTTCCTTCCAAAGAATGCCAAGTTCTCCATTAAGAAAGAAGCCCCTTTTGTCCTGGAGACATCCGAAATCGGTTCAGATCTGTTTGCAGGAGTAGAAGCCAAAGGGTTAAGCGTTAGGTAAGTACATTTCCTCCATGTTTATGTTTTTTAATACAAAGACAAAAAGACTAGCTGAGAGACTATTTAATCATCAGATGTTTCCAGGCATACGACTCTCTGGCTTAGAGTAGTGTGTTTTGTTTCATTTCCAGGTTTAAAGTGGTTTTGAACAGTTGTTGGGCCACGCCATCAGCGGATTTCATGTATCCCTTACAGTGGCAGCTGATCAACAAGGGGTAGGTACTGCCCTTCGGAGCACAGGTGGAGCCAAGTAAATCCAGGGTTACTCTGGCTTGGGGTAGATTGGGAGGAAGAGGCGGGACCTCCTGGGGTCACATCCGTGATGTCCTCTATGCTGCTAGGCCAAGTACTGATACTAGCAAACATTGATATAGTGTTTCCTGGTACCAGGTACTGTTCTGAGAACTTTATCATATATTAACTCATTTGCCTTACAACAAGTAGGTATTTTTACTGTCATTCCCATTTCCCAGATAAGGAAACTGAGGCTCAGGAGGGGTTAAGTATGTCACATAATTTGTGTACGTGTGTCTATGGGGAGTGGGTTCAAATCCAATTAGTCTGACCCCAGAACTCTGAGGGGACTCCATTAGATAATCCATGTACAAAGCTTAGCATGGAGTACCCAGTTAGTATCCAATCGATTTAAATGACCTCATTGTTTTTATTACTGATTCAGACAATGTAGAGCCCTTACAATTTTTGAGTAGAGGACTGAAGAATTGGAATTGCACAATAGAAAGGTGATTCTGGAAGTCATACAAAGTTTGGACAATTAAGTTCGCAAACTTCCCACCGTGTAAACGCACAGTGGAAATTTCGCAAACTTACTCATCCAACCTCGTACATAGGATGGCTCAGAAACAGTACATGGGAGGGGAAAAGAGCAGATCAGAGGCTGTGGCAGCTATCAAACTGAACGTGGTAATACCTGAACTGAGGGGTAGCCAAGTAAATGAATAGGCCATCCAAGGGAGGGAGAAATGATTTTTAAAAAGCAACTTATTAGGTACGAAATGGAGGCAAGGACAGGGCAAAAAGTCTAAGAAATATGTGATGAAGATGGCTTTGCATTGTTAAGTCTGTGGACTATGAAGGTGAGGAATTGTTTGTTGTTGGCTGCTGGGGCTTCCTGGAGAAGGGACTTTGGATTCTCCTTGAGCTCAGGAATAACATGTTGAGCTCTTGAGGTTGCAACTGTCCAGAAACATTTAGAATTATAACTTTGGAAAAGAGGCGAGGTGGAGCTAGGCTAAGATGCGGGCATCGTCTACACCATGAACAGTAAACACAGAAGAGGCCATTCCCCAAAACAAAGCAGACCAGCGTACCTTTGTTATCGCCGGAACCCATCAGGGCTTAAGTAACATGGGGGCAGGGGACAAAAATGATAAGATAACAAAAGGTTGAGCCACTTTGGACCTTCAATTCTTTATTTTTATTTAACAAACACTTGTAAAGCACTTAAAACATACCAGACATTGCTCTAGGTAGGTGCTTTACAAATATTAATTTACTAGACCCCCAAAAGTAGGTAGTATAATCATCTTTATTTTATAGATGAGAAAACCGAGACACAGGCAGGTTCCAAAACTTGCCCAAAGTCTAGAGCTAGTCAGGGGGCTGATGATTTGGGTTCAGACTCAGGTGGCGTGATCTCCTGAGTCGCATGGGTAGGACAGGCCTGCAGGGCCACATCTGAGCAACCCAGCAAAGCTTCCCGCAGAGATGGGAGTTTAGTTTGGGTGTTTATTTCACATCTGTCATCAAGTGACTCGTTTCGGTTCTGTTGATGATGACACAATCAAACGACTTCAGGGAGATACTGAAATAAATCATTGACGTGTAATTACCTTCAGGCATGGCACTCTCTCTCAGACAATGGCCACGTGGTGGGGAAAGGCTTTTGCCACACCCTGGCCTCTCCTCCCTGCAGGTAATTCTGGTGCCATTGCTTTTATCTGACAGATGTGTATTTTAATATGGCAGAAAAAAGGATAGCTTGTGGTTTTCGGGCAGTCTATACACATGTCCCTCCCACTCGAGGACACACAGGCATTACCGAGGGTGCCTGTTACACAGGCAGGCACACTGTAAGCCTGCCACACCGGGAGGTCCCTGGGCGAACCCTGGGAGCCTGCACTGAAGCATAGCCATATGGAAGAGGTCCCGGTCTATTTCCATATTCTGCCTAGTCGAGACACTTGACGTTGGAGCTACATACACAAAGACCAGTGCCAACGGGGAGAATGAGGAGGTCCGCTCCCACAACTTCCCACGTGCTTTTGGCTCACACTGGGCCCTTTGGGAGGAAAACCTAGTTTTCAAGAGTGCCTGGAGAGATCAGAGTAAACACATTATCAGGAAGTGTGCTCCTATGTGGGGAAGGAGACTCCTGGGGCGGTCACATGAAAGCCTCGCTGTAGGTGTTCCATCATCCAGAGATATCTGTCACAGAGGGGCAGGTGCCACAGTGGCACCGAGAGGCAGCTATTGCAAGGCCTCTAGTCCTGCCCATGGCTTGCCTCCTCCCTGCCCCCGACAAAGCTCTTCTTACAGTGTTTTCCACTGGCTGACATGATGCCTTTGGGCACTCCAGCTGCAAGGAGCTATTTTAAGGACTCACGTCTTGGTTTCATACAAGAATCTCGGGTTTATTGACCAAATGATCCTCCAAGAGTCTTATTTCACAGCTTGGAAGATGCCCCTAACTCTGTCACTGCTCAGAGGTCACCATACACAGAGGCCATCTTCTGACCGCTGGTCCCCATCTAAGGCGCAACGTTCACTCCTCATTGTACCCACTAACTCTCCAAGTTAATTCCTTCCACCCTATCTCTAATTTGCCCCCTAATGTCTGGTTCTGATGGAATGGGGTGGGGGAGGGCACATCATGAAGGTTCCCTGGTGGGTGGAGTTGGATGGACAATAGAGTCACAGACACACTCCAGGAGGTGCATGAACTGTAGGACACTGTGGCATGTCCACTAGTCTTGAGCTTTTGAACCCACAGACCTTTCCCACAGATGACAGAGTCTGGTGCTCCTGTCACCTGCAGACAACAAACTCCCACACTTGTGTGGGCCTCGCTGCACATGCCCAAGAACAATTGTATCTGCTCCCAACACCTGGTTGAATGAATGGCACTTAACATAGGGAATCAGTGTGGCAAATGGCACTTACGTAGGGAATCAGTGTGGTAAATGAAAAAGTACTTTGCTTAAACCAGGATTTCTCAATCTCAGCAACATTGACATTTTGGGCTGGATCATTCTTTGTTGGGGTTGGGGCAGGGGGATTGTCCTGTGCCTTGTGCAATGTTGTGCATCCCTGGCCTCTACTCACTAGATGCCAGTAACACCTTCCCCCAAGTCATGCCAACCCCAATTGCCAAGTGTCCTCTGGGGGGCAAATGGCCCCCAAGTGAGAACAAATGGCTTCAACAGATGCCTCTCTGTGTCATTATTTTTTCTTTTACAGCAACTGCTACATTTGGGACTTTGAAACTTCCCAAATATTATGTTATCATTATAGAGAATTTAGGAAATACGTAAAAAAGAAAAAAAAAACACCTGTCCATAATTCTACCACTCCATAATAGCCAGTGTTAACATCTGGATGGTATCCTTCCATTTTTTTCTGTGCTTATATTAAAACTATGCTCACATTTTTACAAAGGAAATTATGTAAAATAATAGATATGGCATTTAAGTAGTATAATGTAAATTCAAATTCCCGGAGGCACAACCTTAAAACACACACAGAGAAATGTGCTGGGTGTGACTTGGACTTAGGTGGCTGTGGCAGCACTTTGGGAAATGCTGTCCGCAGCACTGTTGTCTTTGTCTTGTACACATGCTGGGAGTCTGTACATATCCCAGTCCTCCGGGGGGTTTTATCTCTGGGATGTCACTTTTTTGGGACCGAGGTGTGGTGATGTCCCAGGTGTATGGCTTCTCAGAAGTCACGTCCCCACTCCCTGCTCTAGCCTGACTGTAGAATGGGGACAAGCACACTGGTCCAGTAGCCCCTGCCATTGGCCCCATAGTCCTTAGGGTAAGTTAGATGTTACCAGTCAGAGCGCTTCGGAAGGAGAGTGTGCTGTACAAAAACCCAGGGGCGTGTTGTCGCTGCACTGAACTCGCCTCAGGAGTCTTCACTGTCGTCCACGAGGTAACCTTTTCTCTTCCCCCCTCCCCCCACCCCCTGCGCTCCAGCTGCCCCACGGATGACACAATCCTCGTGCATGAGAACGGGAAAGATCACAGGGCGACCTTCCAATTCAATGCTTTCCGGTTCCAGAACATCCCCAAACTCTCCAAGGTTTGGTTACACTGTGAGACGTTCATCTGTGACAGCGAGAAGCTCTTCTGCCCCGTGGTGAGCCACCTCGCTCCAGAACGAGAATGTTACCCGAGGTGGGGGGTGGGGCGGTGGGAGGTATTTGAGAAGCTGTATTTTTAGCTGGGAAACTGTAACCAGACCAGAGTAGGTGTGTGCTGAGGACACGCTGGAGGAAAGAACACTGGGTGTGGGGCAGACAGGGCTCAGTATGTCAACCAACAAGCTCCACAGTCTGGCACGTAAGCTCCAGAATCCCTTAAGCTCTGGAGTCTGGTTTTCTCATCTTTAAAGATAGAGTGGTGAGATGCAATGGTAGCCCTTCCTTTTTCAGAGAGCAGTGGTAGGTAAAAATGAAAGTGATAACGGATGTGGAAATGTTTTTAAAAAGTTAAAAGCACAAGGGAAATTAAAAATCAACAGGACTTGGATGGAAGTCAAGAGGTGGGTATTTTTAGCTCTTAACTGGCCAGTTTCCCCTGTGCATACCCCACCTAGAAGTTGCTGCAGCTTCAATCTACATGGGTAGCAAATTCAGGTCGGGGACAGTTTTTCCTTGCGACCAGGTGTGAAACTGGCCCTTCGAGCAGTGGTTCCAAAGTGTGGTCCATGGCAGCTTCAGTATCACATGGGAGCTTGTTAGGGATGCAAATACTCAGGCTCCCCAGGCCACCTGATTCAGAAAGTCTGCATGGGCCCCGCAATCTGTGCTTTCACAAGCCCTTTAGGTGATGCTGGGGCACGCTCAAGTTTGACAACCACTGCCTTAGAGACCTAAAAGTGTTAAATCCTAAATTGCTACCTCCCCCAGTCTATTTGGACTAGAGAGCCGGGTGAGGAGGGACGCAGTGTTTCTGAAGAGGATGCCTGCTCACATCGCCTATAGTAACCAACATATACGATTATCATCTCTAGTTTATCTGGCCAGAAAATGGTCACTCATGAGCACAAGCCATGAGAGAAAGAGAAGGGAGAAGAGAGGCATTTCATAGTTGATGAAAGGGTAATTATCAGCAGGACATTAAAAAAAGAAAATGAACCAGAACACATTTTGCAAGTGTCCACTTCTCAAATCTCTGTGATGAGAGTAACCGTACGTAAAAGCTTTACTTCTCACCAAAAAAAAAGGTCAACTCCCCCCACACCCAATGACCTCTTCCAGCAGGATCTCTTCCATTGTGAGGAGTTAACAAAGTAAACCTTTCTCAAGTTAAAGAAGGAAAGAAAAATGTCTCTCTGGGTTAGTCAAAGAAATGAGGTAATTAATATCTGTTAGCGGGGGAATTTTGACTCAAGCTTGTGACTTTTTTTTTTTTTAATCATTTGTCTTTCTCTCTTTTCTCACCTGTGTTCATTTCTCATTTTCTCCTCCCACCCTCCTCTCTGCTTTTCCTGAGTCTTCAGACTTGTGACAAACGGAAGCGCCTCCTCCGGGACCAGACAGGGGGCGTCCTAGTCGTGGAGCTGTCCCTCCGGAGTAAGCGTCTCTGTTTTCCAAATGGTTGTGTTCACGCTGGGCTGCGTCCACAGGCACAGCCGGTTGGAGCATTTTCACTGAATTGCCAAACCAGTTGTGCCTGTAGACACAACCTTCACCTGCAACTCGAGTCTTCTTAACTGGGGGCTGGGTAGCTTATGCCAAACCCCGAAGAGCTCTACCTACGACCTAAATTCCAATGCCGCCAAGGAATTACAGCATGCTGTGTTTCCAGATCAAGCATGCCATCCATAATAATAATAATAGATACAGAAACGTACTGGGAAGAGCCAGTGCAAGCCAACAAATCATTATTGAGTAGCGAGAGGTGTGCCTGGTCTGGGCTGGGTCCTGGGCTTTCAGAAATAAAGGAGCCCCACATGGGCTTTGTCCTCAAGAATTTATCATCTAGCAAAGTGAGAGGTGTTAAGTGCTAAGGGAAAGGGGGATACTGTCGATGGTGGAGGGAGAGGGTGGAGGGTGCTATGGGAGTATATGACAAGGGATTTGCCCTAGTCTAGGACTTAGGGAAGACCTCTGTAGGTTACCAAACCTCGGCTGGAGGTGTGGGGGTGGTAACCCAGGCTGCCACCAGATTTTGTATGGCCTGCAAGCTAAGAACAATTTTTACCTTTTTATGTGTTTGGAAAAATAACCCCACAAAAGAACAATGTTTCATGACATAAAAATAATATGAAATTCAAATTTCAGTGTCTATAAAGAAACTGTATTGAAACTCAGCCAGACGCGTCCATCTACGTGTTGTTTCCAGCTGCTTTCAAGCTACATTGGCAGCATCAAGTAGTTACAGTACAGACCACATGGCCCACAAAGCTGAAAATATTTACTCTCCAGCCCTTTGCAGCAAGTTTACCAGCCCCTGCCTTAGCGAGCCAAGGAGATAATGGTGTGAGACGAAGCCTCTGTAAAGCCTCCTACAAACTTTGTTCTCAAGGCAATGGAGAGCCTTCTGGTTTCATCCAGGGGGAATACAGTCAGATTTGGGCTTTAGAAACAGCTAGGAGACGTCTCCTTCCATGATCTTTTCTTAAACCTTTGGTATTCTCTCTTTACTCACTACAGGCAGGGGATTCTCGAGTCTCTATAACTTCTCAGGTAAGGAAAAAAAGGCACCTCTGGGAAATACCATGGGGCGATGCTTTTAACAGGCAGATGTGTGTTTTAAAAGAAGCGTACCTTTGGCTCCAGCAAAGCCTTTAAGAATTGAAAATTACTCTTTAAAGCACACCTGAGTGGGGCAGAGGGCGATGGAGGTAGAGAAGTCTCTCTCCAGCCAGCCCCTGAGCTCTGAGGGGAGGGTGGGGTGGGGGTAAATTGGATGAAGCAGAACTGGGTCCCGCAAGTCTTGACAAACACATCACTAGGTGGCTTCGCTTTATTCCTGCATTTACAGAATGTGACTTTCAATGATCTGTTCATTCAACAAATAGTTGAGTCTCTGCTGTGACTCTGCCCCCCACTAACTGAGTGACCTTGGGCAATGACCTCACCTGTCATTCCCCAGTTTCCTCTATGAAATTGGGCTAATAATTGCCCCTATCACACATGGCTGTTGTTTGGATTAAATATTATAGCTAAGGGCACCAAACAATACCCAGAACACAGCAAACATCCATTAAGGATCAGCGAGAATTACTGACTCTGTATCAGGTGCTATTCGAGGCAGTAGAGCCATTGCAGTGAGAGGCAGGCAAGGTCCCTGCCCTTCCTAATACTTGTGAAGGGCTGGGGTCGGGGAAGGAGAGAAATGATTTAGGTAGCAGCCAGGAAAGCCTCTCAAAGGAAGAAACATTTCAGTTAAGACCGAAGATCTCACCTGAATGATGAGATGGAGGCAACTTTGCAAGGACATGGGATGGGGTAAGACAGTTCTATTGGCTAATAAATTCACAGGTGTAGACTTTGCTCTTGCAGTTAGCGGAAACCATGTAAACCAACTTTTTAAGACTCCAATTCAATCCCAGATTCTAATTTTTTAAAGGCAGTTCTACAGCTAAAGCCTTACAGTGGAATGAAGGTACCACCACTATATTATCGAAGTTCAGATTCCCATCTGCCAGAGGTCCATATCCTAGGTTTATCTGTTAGGGTCTGATAAAAGTCAGCTATGAAAACCCCAAGGGATGAACAAAACTGACTTTGCATAAAAATGTGTAGAATTTATGAAAAGGTACGCAACACCTCAAGGTTGACTCTTTTGTTGAGCTGTCCTTGTTCCTCGTAGAGCTGTTTCTGAGTGTGCTGTCTCCTTTCCTGTTTCACAGACATTCTCTACCACCTCATCGTGATGCTGGGGATTTGGGCCGTGTTATAGGAGCTAGCCGGGCAGGCAGCTGCAGCTCCTCCATCCGAGACCATCTCCTTTGTCGATGACAAACTCACACTCGGTGTGCTGCCAAAAGAAACAAACAGAAGACCTTGTTGTTGGGGAACAGACACTAGTGCTTTGCCAAATATGTGTTCCAATGATTTTTTTGAATTTCAGTGATTGTTTTTCTTGGGTGCCCCACTTCCCCTTGTCACTTCCTGTGGCTCTTAGATCCTGCAGTCCCTCCCTGCGGCTGTTGGAGGAGTCTTCTTTCTCCAAACTCAAGGCAGGGCTGCGCTGGACTCCTTTGAAAGCTCTTCTAATTTTAAAAGACTAGCACACCCAACCAAGTGCAGCTGAGCATTTTGAGGAGAATGTAGGGCATAACCACGAAGCCAGTGCTAAATACAGAATGCACAGGAATAGCCGACTCTGCCGAAGGGACGTTTGTCACTGGTGCCATGCAATTCTCATCTGAGGACCACAGCTGAGGCACCAGGCAGGGGTTCCAACCTTTCCAACAATGATGTGGGAATCAGTGTGGAATATAATAGTTTTGCTCAAATCTGAGTCCTAGAAAGGAAAACAGGGCTAACCCAATTTATGTTATTATAGGGTTTCTTAAATACGTATAAACATTACATAGGTATAAACTCCTTATTTTATTGTTCATACATAGTTCTAAAATCAAAAGAAAATTACAAATTAAATAGGAATGAAGTGCAAAAGGAATAAAACTCACATTGACATTAATTTAACATCATTATATAGCTTTGCCTAAATGAAACTGCTGCTTGCAACATGGCTGCAGAGTGACTGCCATGACAGGTCCTCGGAAGCCTGTCAACCCCATTCTATCATAGGCCTGGCAATGCCCAATGCTCTCACTAGTTTTTTCTATTTGCTCCACTAAGAAATATTCATTTGTACAAATGGTCTGCTTTCATTTAGCCTTTACTTCGACATTCAAAACCATATCTGTTTTTGTCCTTGTGAACTTATGATCATTAGAGCAGAACCAACAAGAAATCAGAAACACAATTGTAAAATATGGCCAGTGAAATCACGTGGTGCCACACCCTAATAACACTGCCGCCCCAGTGACCCAGACTACGTTGATGTTAGCAACGTACATGGTCAACTAAACAGAAACTGAATAAACCAATCCTGGTCGAAAATTGACAGATCCCTGAGAATGCACCGTGGACTCCAGTTTGAGAGTAGGCGCTGGAGTGAGATGGGAAAAGCCAGAGCTTTGAGTTCCTTTCTCAGTCTTGTACAGTCCTACGTAGTGGGCTTATAATTTGAAAACACATCAGTTTGTATTTCTGTGTTTTATGTATTTGAGAAGTTTTGAGATCTGTAGCTTGATGGTTCTTTTTACAAGTGTGTTAAGAAACTCAGATATGTTCTCAAATGTCTGGAGGCCTGAAGTGCATGTTTGCTTAGCAATAGGCTAGATTAAAAGGACTCAATGTACTCTGAACTGGTCTCGAAGTTGGTCTCCAATAGGTTTGGCATCTCTTCTTCCTGTAAATTTAGAATTTTTGTAGTCAGGAAAGACAGAAGACATTTGACTGGTTCTAGTTAAAAACTCTTAAATAGTATACTCGTAGCCATAATCAAAACCCCTGGCTGTCAGAGTAGTCTTGCTTTAGTTTATCATAATGTTTAATGATCTTGTATCTCTACCTGGTGCTATGGAATAAATAAAATGCCTTATAATAAATACGCGATGACTAAGCTTACAGTGTTAATATATCATGTTGACTAGGCAATTCCTCAACCCTCCCAATGGCTTTGACAACTAGAGCTTCATACGAGTAGACTCCCATGTATACCACAAACAGTCCACCATTCTATCCTATATTTACAATTCAAAAATTCCAGGATTGGGTTTCTGATGCAAGGAGGTAAGGCCATTTCATATGATTAACATTTGGGGGGGGGGTCTTTTTGGTCCTCCCTGTCTCTAAAGCCCTAATGTCTACCATCAGCAACTGGATGTGTTTTGACTTCAAGTCGACTAACAGCCCCATGATGTGCGGTTGCCCTTCATGTCTCCTCTGTTAAGGAGCTCAGAGAAAGCGCTCTCAAAACAGTCTCTCCTGCAAATTCCCATGAGTGCTAAACACAAAAGAGACATTTAGAGAAGGAGAAAAGAGTACATTCTCCCTTAGGTATCCTTGGTGGACATAGAAAAATCACTGGATATAGATATTAGGTAAATGTTCCTATCAAAATTCTTGGTTATCATCCCTAAAGACTCTCTCAAACCTTGAGTAGTATAAAAATATGTACATTATGTATATATACGTATATTTAGACATGCATATATTCATACACATATATACACTGAGTATACACATCACATAAATGTCAATTGATTGATTGACAGATGAGATAGAGAAGAGATAGAGATAGAGACAGAAATAGAAATACAGACACAGATGCAGGTACAGATAGACAGGTTGGGTGTGTACTCAGTATATATGTATGTGTATATATGCATGCATGTATGTATATATACATACATGTGTGTGCATGTGATGTGTGTGAGTGTGCGCATATGCATAGATATATTTTATGTGTATTTGTATGTCTGGATGACAAATGTTTATGTTAAATGTTCAATGAAAAGGGCAGAAGTAGCAAAGTTTTTATTATATGAAGATAACTTATTTAAGCATGTGGACTAGAGTTGGCAGGAAATACACACACACACACACACACACACACACACACACACAGTCCACATAATTACAAATTGAGATAATAATAGACGGTTGCTATATCCCATCCCATTCCTACATCTGTGTATCATTTTCTAGTGCTCTTTTAATGTAATGATATTTGATTGTTACTTCTACACTTTTGGACATACCTCTATTAGTCCTTAATATATTACATTACTACTATGTATGCCTCCCCTCTCCAGCTAAAGATCAGACAAAGTTTCACATTCTCTTGTCTCCCCCAATGTGGTATCTGGCACAGAGTAAATGCTCAATAAATGCTCCTTGAATTAATGAAATGTTCATATGGATGGATGGATGGATAGATGGACGGATGGATAGATGGGTGGATGGATGGATGGGGACTGGCCCATTTCCCTAAAAGACCTCATAGCAGAGGCTGCCTTATTCCCTTTCACAGTGGAGTAAAGTGTGTGGGATCCAGAATCCCTGATTCCAAACACGGGAAGAAGTTCTGAGGCACGAGAAGATCAATTTTGGCCCATTGTCCCCATGCTGGGGTAACAGGGGAAGCTCCCCTGTCTTCTTCATATAAATGCTTTCTGCCTTCCCTCGTCTAAGTGTCAGCCAGAAGCTTTCAATCCTTGATGCTTTGGAGAGGAGCAGAGACTACCACAATGAAAATGGAATCACGTTATTTAAAAAAGGGTCTGTGCAGGTCCTAGAGTTCAGTCGCCCACCTCTGGGCAGATGACAAGTTCTGCTGACGGAAACACTCAGGAGTTCGGTAGAGACTCTAAAGCACTTCCCTTGGGTCCTATTTAGCATCCCTTTTTCTGAAGAAAGGCAAAATTTCCACCAAACCTTTTGTAAAATGTGGTATTAACGGCTCTCGACCCACCGAAAGGTAGTTTATTTCCCTATACAGAGCTCAAAACTATCCCCACAAAGGCAGCTCAGTGGTCCAGCAAGAAAGAAAACCTTCCCAGTCCCAGTGGTTTTCCCTTCTTCAGTCACGGGGCATTGAATAGGAAAAGGTCTCAAATATGATACATAATTCAAATTGGTCTGCCATACTCAGGAGCAGCTACATGGAAGATAAACTGGATGTGAGGGGTTGCAAGGGATAAAAAAAGGGAGTTCTATAAATGCATGAGTGGTTCAGTAAGTCTATTACAAGAACCACTGAATAAAACAACTTGGAATCCTATTCTTAGTGTAAAAGGGAAAATATTCGTAGCAGAATGGATGAGCTCATCTTTGTCTGCTGGAGATTACCCAAAAAATTAAAACACATCATAAATGAATGAAAATTGCTACTTAAAAGTCAAGCCTCGATTGCATCCTTTGCTCTGTGGATCGGAAAGAAAGTAAGCAATAAATTGAAAATGGGACATAATCCATTTGGAAGCTACAGGACATTCGGACCTCTAGACCAGGCCTGCCAGCGACTAGCTGCAGGGGTCCTGTCTGCTTACAGTGGCCTAGTCCTACTGGATTTCAGGGATCGCTCACACCTCAGGTACAACATTATCCCCCTGAAAACATTCCTGACATGCATTCTGTATGGGCTCTTCTCTTCTTGCAGGCTGAGCAACTGATAAGGAAAATAAGTAGGAAACGTTAGGAAGCAGCCACCTTGCAAAGCGAAGCAGGACAGGGCCGGGCTTGTGGGTGGCCCCTGACTCCCCTCTCCAGCTTTCCTTCCTCCCGGAATGAAACTGGGTTCACCGCAAAGCCACAAGGTAAGGAGCCGGAAGTATCCGGCAGCTAGAGCAGGCTCACTGCAGGCCTGGGAGCAACAGCCCAACCCCGGTCCCCCAGGAAATGAGTTCACTATATCCAGCTCATCCAACTCCATGTTTGCTCCAGCCCCCAGATCTCGCTGGGTCTAGATTAGGAGGAGGAGGCCAACTAGATGGCTCCCCCTCCTGGGAGACCGACTCAATATCCCGGGATGGCACCCTGAAAAGGGTATGTTTAGTGCACCTCACAGACTTTCTTGGGACCCCACAAACATCTGTATGGAAAATACTCGCCTCAGAAGATCTCTGGGAGTTCAGTTTCTTCCTCAGTAAATTCGGGCAGTGGAATAGTGCAGCCTTCGTTGCCTTTCAGCCAGAAAGTTGTCTGTTCTCCTTTCCTCTAAGGGAAGCAAAGCGGACCGCAGGTGAGGCAGTGGATGAGGCGGCCTGTGAAGTGAGGCCGCGGAGCAGACAACTCGGGCCTCCCTTGCCTGCTTACTGAGGGTATTGTTTGTAGCCAGAACTGCTACTGGGCAGGAGTTGCTTCAGTGAGGGGAAGGCCTCGTTATGAATGGAATCTTAATGATTTCCGGGCTTTGTTTATAAGACCAGATGGACAGTAAGTGACAGCCTAGATGGTGAGGGCCAGTGGGGGCTAAAGTCTGTTGCAAAGAAAATCTTAAAAAAATAAGAAGAAATACTCCTGAGCTCTTACCCTGAGTAGGGCCCCAGGCGAAGCGCCTCACACACATTTCGTCCTTGCATCCACCTCCTGAGAGCGGGGTTATCACTCTTCCCGTTTCAGCCAGGATAAAACCAAGCCGCCAAATCAGACAGCGAAGAAGTAGGAACAGGATTCAAATCTAGGCCTACACTGCTGCCTTCTAGAAAAAGCTTTCTCTTCCTGGAAGTCAGCTGATGAAATACAGTACCACGACCAGGCTCAGCAAACTGGGGAGCAGACGCCACCCTGTTCCCTCTCAGCTCTTTCCCTGGACCCCCAACCCACCCAAACACCCAGTGTCATAGTAACCACCCACCACGCCCACTGTGAACATCTCCAAGATTTTCTTGAGAACATCTCAAGGGAGCATCCTGTCCCCAGAAAGGGCGATGTGTATCAGGAAGATAAGACTGTCTCATGATACATTTCAGGGACAGACTGAAGGCCAGGGTGGAGGGGAAGGCAGAGGGAAAAGGAAGAGATATTTAAATGTACAGAGATGAGGTCCTAATCCCCCCAAACCAATAGCTTTCTGTGCCCTCGACCTGGGCACTTTAGACTTGGGAGAAGGGACATAGAGGAAATGTGGGCACTATAATTTCTGGGCTCGCCTTGTGTAGAAGACTAGACTGCGGTGTCCAAGCAGAAACCAGGAGACCACGTGTGGCAGAGAAAGGAGGCATCCCACAGGGGCTGGTCCAGGTAGGAGACAAGTTCTTTCCTATCACAGATTCCAGGTTCGACCACTTGAGAGAACAGGATAATCCTCTCTGAAGGAAGAAGATCTGGCAGTCGTGAGCGCCTCCACGTGGACCTTAGGGGTCTCCGCGCACCATGGCGCGAAGATTCACTCAGCCCGTCCAGTCCCGCCACATCTCCATCAGAGACCCAAATGGGGCAGGTGGGCACAGTCGGCCTGGTCTTACCTTGACTGGAATGGTGCCTCTCTTTTGCAAATCATACCCTCCCAATGCCAGCAGGGCGCCTGCGGTGCTCCGAGAGACATGAATCTGGAGAGCTGCCATAAACCAGGGATTGCCTTGTTATTGCCTTGGTTCTGACTCCGATATGGGTGTCAGTGGGGCGGGGACTGCTGCGGAGAGGGAATGCTATGCTGCTCAAATTCTCAGCCTGCCAGCACCTCTTATTAAGCAAATCACAGATAACTTCTCTGAAGTCTGGGACATGCACTGGGACCCCCAACCATCCGGGCATTGCTCAGACACTGCTGGGTGCTGCTCAAGCTTTAGTATGTTCCGGTTTAGAACCGAAAACAGAACTGACTCCATATGCAAGTGGGCACTCCCCGTGGATGGAGGTGAGCTGGGTTCCGCAGGCTTCCTGGGATGGTGCCAGAGCTGGGACATACCATTGAAAATGTTGTTTGTGACCAGAAGTGCAACTAGAGTCGGGTTTAGAGCCTACATCAGCCTTTCCACTTTCCAAATCGATCCTTAAACTCTTTACTTATATGGGGCCAGCCGAGTGGTTAAGAGCTGGCTTGGGACGCCAGAGGGCCCAGGTTTGGATCCCACATATGAGGGCCAGTGACACTGCCCTCTGCAGCTAAGATGCTGAACAACAGCTCAACTTGGAGCTGGGCTGCCATGAGTCGCCGGCGACAGCGTTAGGCTGCAACCCCTGCTGCAGTGGGTTGTCATGGGCTACCATGTGTAGCCAACAGCCAGTGTGAGCGGCCAGCAGCCGCAGTGAGCGGACGTCCAGAAACCGGCGACTGATCTGCCTCGCCAGGGAAGAGCACAATGATGGTGCCAACTTGGGCCAGTGAAGCAACGTCCTCCACAACTAGACTGAAGAACAAAAGGACAGCAACTTGTCTGTTCCCCTTCCCCCAATTCCCCAGCACTGTTCCCATCCCCCAACTCCCCAATTAAAAAAAATATCTTTACTTATAAGCTAAAAGAGAGGTTTTATCAATGCAATCAAATTGCTGTAAAGTAAAAAAAGATGATGTCCCTCAGAGTTCCTGGCCATAGATTTATTCTGCATCACCAAAACTATACGTCAGAGATAGGCAAATTACCACCTACAGACCAAATCCAGCCCACCACCTGTGTTTGCAAATAAAGTTTTATTGGAACTTGGCCATGCCCATCATTTTCATATTGTAAAAGACCCCTTTCACACACAACAGCAGTTAAGTAGTTGCAACGGAAACTATGACCCCTAAAGCTTAAAATATTTACTGTATGGCCCTGTACAGGAAAAGCTTGCTGACTGCTGCTCTTCATTTAAATTATCTTATCACATGTGTGCCTGACTGCTTAAAATGGATAGTCTTGGAAGGAGGCAGTCATGTGTGTTTACATGGCTCCACAGAGAGGACAGTGCAAAGCCCCATCTGCAAAGCTTGTGATCAGCATTGTCTGAAGTGGATAATGATCTTATCCTCCAAATGGAAACCAGTACACAAAATGCAAATGAGTCTTCTAAAAATACCCGCCAGTTAAAGATAGAGGACTGGAGGGAGGGCGATATTGTGTTTGCAAAGTGCTGGAAATGATACCCACGCAAACTGCTGCTTTCCATTCTGGATGCCATGTTCATAGTGTCTCCAAACAGACAATACCTGGGCATGGTAATTCCCACTACGCCAGCCACCACAGGACCTACAAAAGGAAGAACCGATGCGCATGACCAGCCTGCATTGCCCAAGGGCTGTTCTCCGTGATGCACATCAAGTCAACAAATGCAATTCAATAAATATTTGTTAAGTGCCCTCTTGGGGGCAAAGCATGGCAGTAGATCTTAGGGTTTACAAAGAAGGCAAACTACAAAACCCACAGACTTCTGGTGGGGAGCATCAGAGTCAATTGTTATGGATGTTTGTGTGTCCCCTCCAAATTCACATGTTGAAGCACTAATCCTCAATATGATGGTATTAGAAGGTGGGGCCTTTAGGAGGCAATTCGATTTAGATGAGTTCATGGGAGTTGGGCCCTTATGCCCCGAATTGTGCCCATATAAGAGGACGAGACACTAGAGCTCTCTCTCTTTCTCAGCCACATGAACACACAGCCCTAAGGCGGCCATCTGCAAACTGGAAGTGGCCCTCGCCAGAACCTGACCATGCTGGAACCCTGATCTTAGACTTCCCAGCCTCCAGAAGTGTGAGAAAGTAAACTGCTGGTTAAGCCTTCCAGTCTCTTGTATTTTGTTACAACAACTGGGCTGACTAAGACACATGAATGACAATGTTATTCATGTACTGAAGACGTAAACAAAGCAACAGTGGCACACAGAGGGGAGCGATTCATTCAGATGGGGGTTAGAATTTATTGTCATTAAGCCATGGGGGATAGGTAGGAAGGAGCATGTCTGGCTACTGAATTTGCAGGGCCCAGTCTAAAATGAAAATAAGGGACCCCCTCATCTACAAAATATTAAGAATTTCAAGACAGTGACAAAAGAGCATTAAACCAAGTGCAGGTCACTTCTGCACAAGTAACATGGCCAAGAGTTTGACAAGGACAGAACAGATCAAAGGGCATTTGATGCAGAGGCTTAGAGGGAAAGCAGCCCAGTATAACTGTCCTGGTTTTGGCCTCTTCCTCACTTGTGGTTCAAAGACTTGGAGTCTTTGTGTGCCTTTGCTGGTACCAAGCAATCTGGCTAACTAGAAATTCCCATGCAAAGACAGTTCAACCCTTTACAATATTTCCTTCATATGTTAGCATTTTGTTTCAGAGTTCCTAAAGGCCTAGGACCTAGAACTTGAATTTAAAACTACCTGCCATCAGTGCTGCCTACCTGTGTGGAGGCCAATCCGTAGCTTGAGCTTCTCCTGAGGCATGTGACCAATCTGGAAGTGGATGGTGGCACTGAGGAAATGTAAGGACATGGTGGCGATCTCATGCACGTGCTGGGTCCCGTTGCGAATGGGCAGTCCACTAGCCACCATGTATGTGTCTCCAATGGTTTCAACCTGAAAGTAAAGCAACAAGGTGACCTAGTGTTCTCCAAAAGGGTGGGGGTGGATCAGAGACCAAGGCCCTTCATTACTGAGCCCTGCTTTGAGGCCCTATACTTTGAAGAGTCACATCCCCTGACCTCACTCTCTCCAAGTTCCAGCATTTCTTCAAGTTTACTCTCGTCTTGGTTCTTCCACAAAGCCTTCCTTCCCTGAGCCCTCCGCACCACAGTCACTGCTTCCTCATCTGAAATCTGATAGTGGTGGTGATGCTATTTTGACAACCGAAGTTCAAATCCAGTTAGGCAGCATGTACTGATGGGGCAAATCTTGAAGGATCATATGGCGCCATCAAGTGGAATCCATGTTTCCCAACCTGAAATGTTCTCCCTCCACCCAAGGGCTCTTGAACAGAGGCAACATCTTTGGGGAATGTTGGGGGATAACCATTGAGGACATGTGACCGAGGCTCACGCCACACTGTCCCCCAAATTTCCGTGGCCCCAGGGCCACAGACAGAGCCCTGGAATCATGGTCAGAGCTGGTGCACTGCGGCTGCCCAGCAGGCAGGTGTGAACATGGGCACCCTGGTATCATGATCCGAGCCCATCTGGAGAGTCAGAAAACACACCAAGTGGCCATCGTCACCACTACCTGAATGAGCTGATTTATCAGTTTCTGTTATCCTCCCCCAGTCACTTTTACCCCGGTGACCCTGTTCATACATCCCCAGAGTGGCACTGGGCAAGCCGTTGTCTCCCCCTTAGCCGCAAGTCTGATAGTCTAAACTTGGGAGGCGATGTTCCCCTGAATGGCTAAGGATCACGGTATCAGAAGTGAAACTCACACAAGAGCCAACCTTTAAAGAAGAGTAAATATGAGACTCTCTAAATCTGAAGGAAATATTCAGGAGGGAACTGAAGGAAACAGCCAGTAGAAGGCCAATGCCTCTTTTAAAGACACATTTACCGTAAGATAAAAAATGCGTTTACGGTAAGATAAAATCGTGGAAGGAAACAGAGGGAACAACTGATACTTCTTGATAAGTACATACATCTGTGGTGAATCGAGCCCTTTTTTTAAGAAAACAAGCAGGAATAAAATATTGAGTTTCTGCCATGAATTGAGATAGATAAACTGCCTCCGTCCTGCCTGACGTCTAGGGCCGGGTTCATCCTCACTCACGCCCAGGGCACAGCGGACCAGGAACACGTGTTCCCTCACGACCCAGGGGCCAGGGGCCTCACCTTATACACATCGTAAGTTTCAGTGATGTGGTCGAATACACTGTACAGATCATTGAGGAGCTTTACAACTTGCAAGGGGGAGCTGAGAGAACAGAGTTTTGTGAATTCAACAATGTCAGAGAAAAAGATGGTCACGGACTCAAAACGTTCTAGTTCCACGGACCTTCCAGCTATGAGCTGTTCTCCAATGAAGCTGAAACCAGAGAAAAGGAGTATTTTTGAACAGTGTCATATTCATCTTGTCTCCTACAGCCCTCAACAAGGCCTCCCTGGTAGATCCTTTTGCTTCAGTGGGTGAGGTTAACAGTTAACAAAATCCATTATCTGGAGGGAATTTTTTTAACACCCATTTCTCCACCTGCATTTTCTCTAAAGAGAGATTTTAATCGGTGGTTATAAATTGGGGGCAGGGAGAGTAGCAGGTCACATAAGTGTCTTTACAAAAAGATTTTCTCCCAGAGGGCATTTCATTTTCCCCCATTGGTTATTAGTGTTTGATTATAAAGACTCGGTCTGCAGATGTGGAAGCAAATATAGGCATTCACTGATCCATAAGTCAATATTTTTGCTTCAATCAACCAATCTCACATTAACACATTCAAATCCCCAACCCCGTTTCTTTTCTCAAGGTACATAGGAAGAGTGCAAATATTTTAACAGCAGATGCTTCTGCCAAGTGTTTAGAGAGTGCACAGATGAGAATAGAGCTAAAAAGGAAGCAACTTTTGAATCTAAAGTCATGGGTACATATTGTATTATGTAAAGGTTTTGGGTGTACAATCTGAAATACTGGGAAGTTAGCAATTAACCAGACTCATGGAACTAGAGCGCCATCTGGTGGTCGCTCTCCTGTTGCTGCATCCACCATCTTCCATGTAAAAGACCTACACTTTCTGTTCCTATGGATTCAAGGGCCTTTGCCTCTATCTCCCTTTACAGGGTGTACCAAATTACACGCAAAATGCTTGTCCATTTTAGGAGAACCTGATGTCCTCTTAGGAAAAGAACAAAGAAAATACGCTCTCTATAGGGGGCCTCTTAGATGGTGATGATGTTGCTTCCTGGGTTCCTTTGTCAAGGTCCCCCAAGGGCTCTGGAATACCTGGGCAGAACTGTGGACAGAAGCTTATCCACCTTCCTCTTCTCTGCCATCAGCTGGTTGGTTCTCTCCTCCACCACCTCCTCCAAGTGATTGGTGTATACTTCCAGTTTGCTCACCATACTGTCTAGTATGCTAACGTGGCTTTAAAGGAACACACACATTAATGTCTTTTTCCAAGAACTTTAGGGTCACAGTAGAACACCACTTCCAGCTGTACATTCCAAGAAAACATGTCTTGCCCTGAAGGTTTCCTACTTGAGGCTTGCCAACAGGACCTCAGTGAAATGACAATGACAGTGAGGCCACGTGGCAGGACAGACAGAGCCCGCTCTTCACCAGCTCTGTGACCTTCAGCTGCACCCTGTATTCCTCTGAACCTCAGTTTCTGCATTTGGAAAATGAGGATAATAATACATACCTTGCAGGGTTGTTCTCTAAGGAGTCAGGGGGATAATGAGTACAAAGTACCTAGAGCCATGTCTGGAACCCAGCGGGTACTCCACCAATGGTGGCCTTCACTGCCCTCCCCCATTCCCCAGCATGCCATTGTCATGGCCAATCAAACGTGGACATTTTAGGACAGGTCACGCTTTTCTTTTCAGATGACCACACCAAATGTTTTCTTTTCAAAGGAAAGATATAACGGGCACTTCGAGAGCCTGTAGGCTCTTGTTTTAAAATGGTTTTTGGAGAAAATCATTTAAATTCCTCATTTCTCAGATGAGGAAACTGACGCTCACATGGGAAATAAACTTGCCTTAACATTGGAGAGCACATTTTCTGAGTAAAAAGCCATGACATAACTGACCTGAGACATACCATTTAGAAATATTTTGCAATGGAAAATGTAGACTACAGGACTGCTGTGTTAAAAATGCATGGTGAAATGGCCAAATTAGGAGTAGACACCTGACTCCCAGCACAGGGCTCCGTCTATCAACTCAAGCTACTTCTAACATGGCTGTGCCTTCATATGTTCAATGTGACAAAAGATGATAAAATTATCCTGATTCGAAGCAAGTTACTATTGAGAAAATTGTTTGAGAGGCGTGAATAATTTAAGTCAATAACCTACTTTAAGGTTGGTGAGTAATTTTTTTTTTTTAATCACATAGTTCAACCCCAATTGATTCTAAAGCCATGTCACATGTCCCTGGGACAGAGGACCTTGATTGATTAGTGATTTCTGGAATGGACAAAGGAGGGCAATGGAAGTACAAATGCCTGATCCATTTTTGTAACTTTTATGAAATAAAGGGAGGCTTTATCACTCCACTTTGACCAGAGTGTAGCACAGTGCTTTGCATGTGGTAGGCATCAAGTGTGCATATGATGAAGGAAGGAAGGAAGGAAGGAAGGGAGGGAGGGAGGAAAGAAGGGAGGAAGGATTGTATGGAAGAAAGAAAGAAAGAATGAATGAATGAATGAATGAAGCAAGTAAGCCACACAGAACCAACCACAGCCATGTAGTTTTAAAATTCTAATGGTTAAATGCTTAGGGGAAAATGTCTGTTTGCACACCTAACTCACCCTTTGGGACTGGCTTCCCGTAAAATTTTCTTGATGGAAGGGAATGTGGGTCTTTTCTCTGGAGATTCATCCCAACAGGCTCTTACTAGGACCACGACCTTTTCATTGCCTTTCTCCTCTGACAGGGAAGGTCGAAGTGGAACTGATGCTGTGGGGTCTCTGATTCGGCTGATGATTTCTGAAATTCATTTTGGGTTTAGATAGACAAAGCTCTGAACTTTGTGTTATTTCGCATACCTTACTTTAAATAGATATGCTCTTAAATTTGTAAACTGAGCTTCCAAGTGAATTGAAAAGATCAGAATTTCAGAGACATCTGAATATTTTACAAGAAATATTCCGAATCCTTCTGGGAAAATGAAGAATCTTAATGTAAATCATACAAGTATCTCCTGATTAATCTGTTTTTAGATTAAGCTTTTTTTCTAATAGAAGCTTTTGAAGCATATATCTATATGATTTCAGAATGGTATAAGCATTTGCTATTAGAAATCCCCAAAGTGTGCTTTATACAATTTTGCATCCCATATAATATGTTACATAAAAGATATTTTAATAAATAATAAATGTTACCACCATGTTCTGCTTATGTATACAACTTTGTAAACCTACTTTTTTTCACTTCCTCATTGGCCTCTATCAAAATGTATTAAATATTCTGCTTACCTAGGCTTTGTAAAGGGAACATTTTGAGAACAATGTACACATGTATAAAAATACTGTAGGTTCAACAACATGGATGAATCTTAAATATATCTAAGTATAAGAAGCCAGTCTGTGATTCTGTTTATGTGATATTCTGGAAAAGGCAAAATTATAAAGACAGAAAACAGACCAGAGGCTGCCAGGAGTTTGGGGGAGGAAAGAAGTTTGAATAGGTGAAGGACCAGGATGTTTTTAGGGTGATAAAACTATTCTATATGATGCTGTAATGGTGGATACATGACATTATCTATTTGCCATGGAGTTTTACCACAGAAAGCATGAACCTTAAAGAATGCTAATTTTTAAAAATATCAGTTGGGAGATTGGATGACCCTAAGATAGGATGCAGCCTTATGACAAAAGAATCTAACTATGTTGTATGACATAACCTCACTGAAGGCAGTCGGGGGCTGCTGACTTAACTTCTGAAATGAACAGAGACAATAAGACTAAATACAAAAGGAACTATTCATAATTACTATATTCTAGCTGGTGAGATTGCTTCTCCCAGAGGTACAGATCAACAACCCTGAAAGTACTTCACACCTATACTAGGATTGAACAAGTAAGTGAATGGATAGCAGGAACCAGGGTCTAACTGTCGGGAAGCGATAGGGGGAGACTAGAATAAATAATCCAAGTGGTAATGACATTGGAGATGTCAGTATGAGCTCATGTTTAGCTTCATAGAAATACAGATGGGTAGATATAGATATATGTATACATACCGATTAGTATGCACACACACGTTTCCTTGTGCATCAGAATCACCTGGGGGAGGAGGGCTTATTTAAAACATACATTCTGGACCCCCCTGCAGTTTTCAATTCAGAAGTTCTGGACCAGGGCCTAAAAATTTGTATTTCTAACAAGTTCCCAGGTGATACAGTCGTTGCTGGTCCGGGGACCACACTAGACCAGTGCTTCTCAAACTGTGGTCTTCACCATCACCTGGGGACTTGACAGAAATGCAAATACCCAACCCCCACCACAACTCCCCCTCCCCCACACAGATCTACTGAGTCAGAAACTCTGAGGGTGGGACCCAGCTGTTTTAACAAACCTGGCAATTCTGATGCCCGCTAACATTTGAGATCCACTGGTCTAGTATGCACAGAGAATTGATATTGATCCAGTTCCCTGCGCCAGGATTGTTTGTAGAACAGTGTGAGAAGTTGATGGAAAAAATTAGGTACACATTGCATTTTTCCTGGTTGCAGTCCCATGTACACATAGTCCCAGGTGGCTGGCTGTCATTTAACTGTGAGCAGAGGATTACAATGAGGGGGAAATAGACCGATTGTCCTCTGTCTTCTCATCCCCACCCCAGCAGGCACAATTAGATGGCAGCTGAGCTGAGCAAGTTAGGGGGGGCTCCTGCCTGGGCTTGGTTGGGAAGATCTGTGTAGCTGCTTGGTTCCAAGGTCAGATGCACCTGGATTTTGGATTAACCTTTTTGGATTAGTCTCATCTCATCTTCATTTAGCCACAAATTAGAAATTGGAATCTGCTTTCAAAGCAACAACATACACTCAGAAAGGTTCTCGACTTGGAAAAGTCTCCAGGGAATGCACAATGATCTATAGATGAGATGTGAGATGGACCACTGGGGATTGGACTAGAAATGGTAGGCAAGGCAAAGAAAAAATTTTAAAAAAAAATCAAGAGAGAAAGGTAGGCTGGGTTTACACAGAAGCTCCTACACACACACACACACACACACACACACACACACACACACACCCTATCCTCTCTCCAGGATGATGGTTCTCAACCTGGGCTGCATATTAGCATCACCCAGGAGCTTTCAAAACCCTGATGCCAGGCAGGCATCAGAGTCTCTGAGGCTGAGATCCAGGCATCAGCAGTTTTTTGGTTTTTTGTTTTGTTTTGTTTGCTTCTGATCATTTTATTTTTCTGTTTTAAACTATTATTTTTTCATGTAAAAAATGCATTTTCTTTTCTAAAAATGTATCTTTTTATTGCAGAGTAACACTGTTAAAAACTTATAGTTACTTGTAATGCTTATACTGCTTAAAACAACTCCTAAGTATTTTTTAGAGCATGTTTTTAAAAAGGGAGCTAAAATAATTTACATTTTATCTCTGAGCATTTCAGACATTAGCAGTTTTTAAAGTTCTCCATGTAATTCCAATGTGCAGCCAAGGTGGAAAATAACAGTTCCAAGGGGTTACATTCTTCTAATCTTGATCAAATGGTGCTCCATTTCCTACTACAGTTCTCTAGTGGAATGTGTTAAGAGACAACCTAGCAAAGCACCAAAACAAAATGAAGCAAAAAAGCCTGAATATATCCTTTGTAAGTGGACAATTGGGCAGCATTTATTAAAAATGTAAATATATTTAAAATACACTTATCTCTTGATTTTCACGGACAGAAATCTATACTGAAGAAACATACACACATGTCCACAAAGATACAAGGCTGCTAATTGCCGCAGTTTGCAATAGCAAAAAATGGCAAACAGACCAAATGTGTTATCAATCTGTAATCCATGGCATGTTCTTACAATGAAAAATTGTGCGGTCCTTAAGAAATGAGGCAAACCTATATATGCAAATATGAGGTGAAAGCTCCTCAGGCAGAGGAAACATCATGTGCAAAGGCACTGGGGTGGGACTGAACAGAGTGGGCTATGGGAAATGGAATTAGGAAGTTGTAGTGGGCTGTAACAGAATTAGGAATGGTGGTCCCCAAAGAGATAGATCCATGTGCTGATCCTCAGAATCTGTGACGGTGACCTTATTTGGAATAAAAAAAATAAAATAAAATAAATCTTTGTAAAATAGAATTAAGAAACGTGGATCCAGGAGATCATCTAGGATTATCCACGTAGGCCCTCATCCAATGACAAATGTCCTTATGTGAGACAAACAGAAGAGATATTCAGAGGAGGAGGCAATGTGGTCACAAGCCCACAAAGGCTGGGAGGGGCAAAGAATGCATCTACCCTTGAGCTTCTAGAGAGAGCACAGCCCTCCTGAACCTTGATTTTGGATTTCTGGCCTCTGGAACTGTGAGAGAATAAATTTCTGTTGTTTCAAGCCAGGAGGTTTGTGATAATGTATTATGTCAGGCCTAAGACATGAACGTAGATGGTCACCGAGGCTAATTTAGAGGCCTCTGGTGGTCCTGTAGGCCCCTGGAAGGACTTAGCTTTCACTCCCCAAATGGGAAGCCAGGGGAGGGTGTGGTGTAGAGTAGCAACACTATCTGACTGGCCGTCTAACGGGGTCTGGCTGCTGGTATAGAATTAATTATGTAATTCTGAATTCCTTGATTTGTTTTAACCAAACTGCAATTGGTTTCTAATTTTTTTAAAAAATATAAATTTTAAAAAGAAAAAATAAGAATGAAATAAACTGCAAAGGAATAAACGTTTACTAAAACAATCAATAAAGCAAGCATTTAACAAGCTAACCCTGCTACCTAAAGCCTGCCAAGGAGACGCTCCCAGCTTTACCGTCCGGTGTCTCGCGGTGGTCGCCGAAAGGCCCGCTGTCTTGGTGACGGATCAGCTCTCTCATCAGAATGGCAAAGCTGTAAACGTCTGCCTTCGGGGTGCCTGACCATGGTGCCTCTGGGAGACACAGCAGCTCTGGGACCGTCCAGTAGAGCTCTGCAAAGCAACAAGACATGGAGAGAGAGAGCAGCCGGACAGAACCGGAAAGCCACCCCTTGTACCTCAGGGCAGCTCAGGAGGAATGAAAGCATCCAGCCCCTGAGAAGTCAGCCCTGATGGTTCCTGACTTACAAGGTAAATAGGGGTCCGTGGACATGAATATAGAGAAAAGAATCAGGAAGGACATGTGCTAACGTGTTAACGGGGGTTAACTCAGGGCTGTGCAATGACACGGGGTTTTCATTTTCCTTTTTCCTTCTGTACTGACTACATAGCAAAAACTTAATCATTTTAAAGTGTATAATTAATTCAGTGGCATTTAGTACATTCGCAATGTTGTGCAACCACCACCTCTACCTAAACATTTCCACCCCCCCAAAATAAAATCCCGTACCCATTAAGCAGTTTCTCCCTGTTGCCCTCTGTCCCCAGCCTCTGAGAACCACCAGTCTGCATTCTGTCTTTATAGATTTATCCATTTTGGATATTGTATATACCTCCACTTCTTTTTGCAGTGAGGTGTATAGGTTTATGTGATTATAGGTTATAATCATTAAAAGAAAATATATTGGAAGATGAGTAAGTGGGAATGGCTACTAGCAGGTTTTCAAAATTGTCCCCTTTGTGTTTTTCTGTAAGACATCATCTTATGCCACGTCACAGAAACTTCCCCACATGTCCTCAGCACAACTGCTGGCCACGTGCTGCTCCGCAGACAGGCGGTCAGGGCTGAGGGCACTGGGCTCCACAGGGCCCAGCTATGTAAGAGTGAGACTCATGAGTGCTCAGTTAGCTTTGGACACATAGGAACAAGCCTTGAGCCTCCATTTGCTCATATGAAAAGGAAGGCTGGACTCCAGGTGCCAGGTCTCATCCTGAGATGAGCATCGGAATCACTTGGGCACATTTAAAAAACCATGCAATGCCCAGACCCCATCGTCATGTACTCTGATTCAATTGATATGGGATAGGACCCAGTCAACTACATATTTTTATAAGCTTCTCAAGTGATACTGGGGCAAAGAGAGGACAGAGGACTGCTGAACTCTTCATTTTTAAAGTGCCTGGCAGATGGGCATTCTACCCTGAGAAGGTAGCAAGATGTGATGGGACACAGAGGACCACAGAGAAGGACAGCGACTTGCTTCAGGTCGTCCAGCTGAGCCAGGATGAGAACTAGTCTCCTAACTCAGACATCATGTGGACTCATGCCACCCACGGGGGTGAACAGAACAGCCACATGCTGTCAGCTCCAGAGGCAGCCCCACCTGCAGGCACCTGTGCACGTGGGCATCAGGAAACAGAGATGGAACCCCAGACCACTCTGCCAATAGCTCGTGGTGCAAGACCTGCTAGTGGTTACCTGATTGGTCCATCGTTTTCTCATTCTATGTTCTGTACGTCTGGCCATACTTGAGTTCCCACAGCCCAAACCCAGACAGCTTCACCTGCATCCGACCATCCACCAGGCAGTTGGAAGGCTTCAGGTTGCCATGGGACCCCAGAGGGCTCCTGTGGAGGAAGAGCATGCCCTGGGAGAGTGAAATGAGCAAAATGAATTAGCGCAGGTGCCGAAGGACACCACCAGAAGATGGACAGGAGCACAGATGCACAGACCTGGGGTCGGGGCTGTGCCCACCTCTACGTTCAAGAGCCACTGACACAGCACCTCACCCAAGGAATCAACCTGGACATGACACCCAAAAAGGAAAAAACAACTTCTGGCCTCTCTGTGTGGAGCCATGAAAGCAAGGCCAACTTAAGATAAATAGAGCCTAGTGGTCAGACTCCTGAGTTCCAATCCCAGCTCTACCACTAAGTAGCGGGCAAGTTACCTACCCCTATAAGCCTCATTTTTCTCATTAAATGAAGATCATAGTGATCCCTATCTCAGGGTGGCTGTAGAAATTAACTGTAGCATGCACGTGAGACATCAGACATGGTACATGACACAAAGTAAACATCCACTGTAAATTATAACGCAAATTTTGTGTAAATATGATAGAGAACATGTGCTTAATCAGAAAAGCTTGCTAAGGGAAGTGAATCAGAAAGGCAGTGATACAATAGCCAAGACATGGAAACAACCCAAGCGTCCCTCGATGGGTGACTGGATAAAGAAAATATCGTACATATATACAATGAAATACTACTCATCCATAAACATTGATGAAATATTACCATTTGCAACAACATGGATGGATCTTGAGAGTATCATGCTAAGTGAAATAAGTCAGACAGAAAAGGACAAGAACCATATGACTTCATTCATATGTGGGATATAAAACAGAAAGCAACAAATGAACCAACCAACCAAACACAACAGAATGGTGGTTACCAGAGGGGAAGGGGGGCAGGGAGAGGATGAAGAGGGTAAAGGAGGTCAACTATATGGTGACAGAGGAGGCTAGACTTTGGGTGGTGAACACGCAAGGCAACACACAGACAATGTATTATAAACTGTACACCTGCAACTTTTATAATGTTATTAACCAATGTTACCCCAATAAATTTAATTTTGAAAAAAAAAAGGCAGTGATAATTCTCATTCAACGAGGAGATGAGGGCAGAGAGGACCGGTCCTTCCAGGGGCAGAGAGGGGCTTGAAGAAAGTCCTAGAGTTGAGGAGGGAAACAATTATTTGGGAAGGACAGGTAATAGAAGAGATCAATTTGGAAAATTAGAACTGTCATATTTGAAACATGATTAGAGAAATAAATGTTTGTAGTTCTCTCATATTTCCAAGGGCAGACCTAGGAGTGGTGAAATGAAGATTTAGGGGAAAGGGCCAACTGCATTTCAGAAGCAAACCATTATAGTTTGGGAGATAGATGGACCCATTGTCTGCCACTTATTTTATTTTATTTTTTTATTTTTATTTTATTTTGTTTTTCATTTTTTTATTTTTTATTTTTTAAGAATTTTTATTGGGGAATTGGGGGGATGGGAACAGTGCTGGGGAATTGGGGGAAGGGGAACAGACAAGTTGCTGTCGTTTTGTTCTTCAGTCTAGTTGTGGAGGACGTTGCTTCACTGGCCCAAGTTGGCACCATCATTGCGCTCTTCCCGGGTGAGGCAGATCAGTCGCCGGCTTCTGGACGGCCGCTCACTGCGGCTGCTGGCCGCTCACGCTGGCTGCTGGCTACATACGGTAGCCCATGGCAACTCACTGCCACAGGGGCTGCAGCCTACGCCGTCACCGGCGACTCACAGCAGCCCAGCTCCAGGTTGAGCTGTTGTTCAGCATCTTAGCTGTGGAGGGCAGTGTCACTGGCCCTCATATGTGGGATCCGAACCGGGGCCCTCTGGCGTCCCAAGCCAGTTCTTAACCATCGCGCCACTCGGCCGGCCCTGTTTTTTATTTTTATTTTTATTTTTATTTTACCTTCCTCAATGACTTCATGAGAAAGCATTTAAATAATATTTATTTAACATTTCCAGTTCCTTGGACTTAAAATACTGACATAAAGTCTCTCTGTATCTTTAATTTGAATCCCTGAATCATTCATTTTCAGAATGCTTTCTGAAGTTTGGAAGTTGGTAGAAATCCGACAGCATCAGTATGTCACAGGTACGGGGCGGTCTTGGAGCCGTTTTACCTGCCTTGGCCTGGGTAGACTGAGCCTCCTCACACCTGCCTCAGCCAAGAAGTTTCAGGGCAAAAGTGAAAATGACAATGCCTCTCTCTCAAGGCTGTTATCGGATCTTTTTTTTTAAGTTTAGAGTGCCAACCTTATGTCAAGTATCTCTCTAAGTCCCTTGCCTTAACTAGCTCATGGAATCTTAGTGATCCTGAGGAGGTAGGTGGTATTAACATCAGCTTCATTTTACAGATGAGAAAAGGGGAACACAGAGAAATGAACCTGGCCTGGGTCACACAGCCGGCCAGCAGTGGGGCTGCATTGGGAATTCTGCAGTGATTCTCAAGTCCACCTCCATGACCAATGGCCCAGCTGCCCCTTAGCTGATAAGATAAGCCTATGAAGGGCAGAGTGAGAAGTGACTGAGTGTTTCATTTTCGCCGCAAGATTCCATGGGCATCCACACTGTAATATGGCTTCGTGATGAACAAACAAATAACAAGAAACTGTTTTAGGAGACTTAGTTTGCACTATGCACTGACGTTCTTTATACATTTAGCTTTTCCTGAGGCAGGTTAATATTCTCATTCTCTGTTTCCCAATGAGGAAACTCGGGGTTTTAAACTGCTCCCAAGGATTGGGGGCAGAGCTGAGATATAAACCCAGGCTGGGTTGCCTTAGAAGCCCAGTCACTTCTAAACCACTAGATTTATTGTTTCCGGGGCCCTGGGTGATTGTACAGGAGGGGGAAGGTGGGTCAAAGCACACCTATTTCCCTAACTCCCTTATACAAGAACAACCAAGTTCAAATGATCTTCAAGCCCAGCTGAGAAGGGGGTGAAGTCACCCATGGGCGTGGCCATGAGGAAGCACTGACCCTCAATGTCCCAACCAGGAGGAACGCCAGGGAGGGCTCCCTAATGGACTCCTGCACCCAGGGACAGGGTCCTCGGGCCTCCTGGGCACTGGCTCAGAGACTCACCTCTTCCTCCAGCATGATGACAGGCTGAGTCACTATCCCACGTTAGCAGAGCCCGGAGCTAATATTGCTTTAGAAATACAGGCTAATACAAAAGCAATAAGGAAACACACAGGACGTGGATATACCAGCCTTGTACCCCCAACTAAACAAAAAGTTCTGAAGGTCATGTAGCAATGTGGCTTATTTGTTTTTTGAGATTATAAAGTTGAATCACATTTTAGAAATGCAACCCACACAACTGGACCTGGAGGGGCCTGGCTGGGGCTACCTCTGGAATTTCTCCAGGGAGGCTCCAACTGCCCAGGTCTGGGCTTGAAATCTGGGGTGACCTATGTCCAATCCAGAGTTCTCCCTCACCTCACAGAGACCGCTCCAAGCAGCAGGACTGCCTGTGACACACACAACCATGTCTGCCCTTGGCAGTACCAGGCTCACCCCGAGCATGAGGCATTTTACACTCTGCTCACCACCAAAACCTCCCCCTTCCTTGACATCTAAGGATATTAGCAGAGCTCACTCTCTCAGGGCATAAATGACTTGTTTGGGGACACTCAAAATCCTACATAGTTCTCTCCAGGAGACAGCACATAGCTCTTCGTTGCTGTTTTTCTCTCTCGATGGAAATGCATGACTCTATGTATATTGTAATAGAACAAATGGAACTCTGTGAGGTACCCGATTCATGTACCACATTTGATGCATTTTGGCAATTCTGTCACCTACCTGTCTGCTAGTTGCGTTTAGTTCCCTATTGGAAAACTGGAGGTGGCCCACGGGGCTCCCATCTCTGGATCCCACATCTGTGCTCTCTGGTACTTGGCAAGGAGGAAGCGTAGCATGGAAGAAAAGACTCAACCTATGGAGACAGATTGGCTGCAAGACCCAATCTGCCTCTTACCAGTTGGCCGGTTACTTTACCTACTCAGCCCCCCCCCTTTTTTTTTCTTCTTGAAATGGAGTAAATGTTCATATTAATCTCTCTGATACCTGGTATAGAGAAAGTTCTGGTCAAATAGATATCAGGAGAAGAATTGTTTTTTGATTGGTATGTGACAGGCAGGAGCGCTATCTGGCCAGAGAACTTGACTCCGTGCCTGGGTTCATGTCAGTCACCCACGGTAAAGCTCCAAGAGGCTGCAGTGAAGTTTCTGTTACTCTTAGTCCCCTTTCCAGGAAGGCCAGCAGAGTGACTGGCCTGGGGGGGGGGGGGGCTGCGTGTGCTTTGACCTGCCTCACCACAACTTCCTTACACAGTCCCACAAGGCATGCACTCCATTTCTAGAGGCAGCGATCCTGACAAAACAAGGCGTCAAGCTGTCCTTCTGGCATGGAGCAGGGGACAGACTCAGTGACCTAGAGTAACGGATGATCACCAGGGAGATTCTCCTCTTTAATGGTCACTTTCACCCACTCCAGAATTTCTCCAGAAAAACCTTCGGCTTAATGCTTCTTGAAAGCCAAATGCTCACAGGCAAAGACTAAATGTATTGGGCATTCACACCTTGGTGAGAATTGACTAGCTTTCTCTTCACATCCAATATAAACGATGTCAACTGTTTTGAATGGAGCAGGGGAGAGACCAATGGAAGGCGCATACTTCGGGCTCACTGGGAAGGGAAGGGAAAGTGGCTGAAGGGAAGGAGAGAGGAGCCCAGGGTAGGAGAGATGCTACAACAGATTCTCCTGTTTTATAACTGTACCACCGCCGCTTAAATAATTATATATGCATATTTCCTGTTTTTTAACTTTTTTCTCTAACTAGATTTTAAGCCACTTAAATTTGGAAACAAGTCCTTGTCTTCCTACAAAACTGCCCAGAGCAAGATAAACCATTAACAGATGCTCAATAAAGGTGACTGAAATAATCACAGTGGTGGAGACCCAACCACAAGGAAGTTTCTGTTCGTCTAACTTGCTTGGTTACAATGCGCTGGCTCCCCTACTAAGTAAGGCCTAGGAAATCAAAATCTCACAAGGCCATTAAGACTCAACAAAGAGCAATTAAATCCTTGAGGGAGAAAAGCCTTTGGCTGTCAATCAGGCCAACCTCAGCTATCATATTACAACTACATGGAGGCTGAGGTCCAGCAAAGGGAACAAAAGTCAAAAGTCACCCAGTGAGTCACCATCCCTACACCGCAGAAGGACAGAGTTTATATTTCACCATTGTAGCCCTCAAAACACCCAGGCTGAGTCTTGCCCACGAGAGTCTATTGGCTGATGGATGGTCTATTGACTGGCAGATGACAACCAACCCTTGCCCTGTTGCCCATGCGTCAGACTGAGGGGCTTGCTCACCAAAACGCACTCCTAGGTCATTGGCTTGGTCTTCGCTTATGGTAAAAACAGACAAAGTGAGTTTAGAAAGAGCAGCCATATTTTAGCCCAGGTTGAGGAGATCAATCTCAGGATGCTGTCCATGCTGACATGGCCCACCTGACTTACCTCCCATCTGTGAAATGGGGATAATAACAGGTCTACTTTATATTATAATATTATAATATTTTGTTGTGAGAATTAAGTAAATTAATATATACAGAGTGCTGGAAAGTATCAGAGCCAAAATAAGCTCAGATTATTTTGAGCTTATTTAGTTATAAAAAAACTAAATATATTTAAGTTATTATTATTATTATTATTATTATTTATTCACCTCTTTTTTTCAGCCACCACAACCCTCTTTGCCCAAAGTAAAGATTCTGCCTCTTCATACTGGTCTACCTTTGCAGATCTGTGTCCCTTGTGTAATAGCTTTGTGGTTGTTGGGGCACTAATCCCGATTTCCTGGAAAAGGAAATCAGGGACTAGGGAGAAGGAAGGGGTGTTAGGGATCCCCTTCTCCAGCTTGCTTTATGATCTAATAACTAGATTTCCTTTGGGGTAAAAGGTTCTACCCTAAAATGTAAATACCCCGTTCTTTTCTGATTGGGTAAACCTAGCATCCCTTCCATCTTGAGTGTAAAATACTTGACTCGCTTGATCTTTACTTGAGATCAGGGAGAGAAAAGAATGGACAATCTGAAATGGTAGAGTTTTGAAGTGGGATCACTTTGAAGAGAAGATCTGAGGAGGACCAGAATTTTTGGGAAAGATTACAGTTCAGTTTAATCAAAGGCACAGAAAAACTCCAAAACACTTTAAATAAGTTTATGTTATACTCACATTGACAATGTCATATGCAAATGAGAGCTTGAATATCCAATCCATTTCATTATCTGAGTTTCTCAAAACATCCTGAAAAACAGGTATTCAAAATATCACCAGTGATTCAACCTGAAGCACAGTGAGCTTTGTATATGGAATGGACTTGGTTCTAATACATTGGGTGGTTTTGACCAGCACTAATAAAACCTGACACAGAGCACTCTAAATCTAGTAAATGAATATTTCCCAGGAAATACCATAACTGACTCAATATTGAGAAAGTTACTCAGTCTTGGGTTTTACAAACACTTCCTTGTTCCTGGCAAAAAGCTAATGGTCACATGCCATGGGTAGGATGGGCCCAGGAATGCAATTAAGGAGTAGCTGTGACAGCCTTGGAGATAAAACCAAGCTCAGACAGTTTCCACCCAGAACAAAGGAAACCAGGCACTTGGCAACTCCACTGATAATTTGATCCCCGCAGGCAGCCCAACAAGATAATTCAGGCCTTGCAATTAGGCCAGGGAGTAACTATTCTTCGATGAAGGAGCAAAAGCATTGATAAGGTTCTCTATTAGCTACTGCTAATCAATCTTAAGGTAAGATTTGTTATTTCATTTACCTTAAGACTTCCTTTTTGGCAATACTGGGTGACAATGCAGATATTGGGTGGTTCCGTGCAAATACCAAAGAAGGCAACAGCGTTTCCCGTGCCTTAATTCATACACCTGAAAATAATAATGGTAATAATAGCTTGTGATTATAGTAACTCTTCTGTGCTAGGGACTATGCTATGTGCTTTACATATTCTCAGTTAATCCTCACAAAGACCCTGTGAGATAAAAATTATGACTGCTCCCATTTTACAGATGAGGAAACTGACACTCAAGAGGTAAAGCGACGTGTGAAGGGTCATACAACTTATTAGTGGCAGAGTTGGGAGGCAAATCCAGGCAGTCTGTCTCCAGCAAACAAACCAGAGGATGCTCAAAGTCTAACCTTAGCCATGGAGATTAATGAAAATCACATCACAATAAATAGACCCAGCCCTGCATTCCACTGTTTATGGCTGTCAATGCCAGTATGTGGGCCAGATCATCGATTCGGAGCAAGAAGTCAGACCCCACGGACCTGACTCCCTCCAAGGACCAGGTTCAAGAGAGGTGAGCAGCCATCACAGATGCAAAGGATGAAGAGGCAGAATTAAGGCCAGAAGGAATTAAGGGAAAAGAACAAGGCTAGGGGGATCCCAGGCTTCGGGGACCTGAGTCAGGCCAAAGGGTCTGAGGTCTGAAATAGGGGCTGTCAGGGGACGGTGGTGGTTAAGAGAAGCTTCTGTCCACCCTTGCTCCTTTGGACTGGGGCCACTCCCACCCCAGGTGGGAGCAGGGAACTGGCAATGAGCGCCAGAGAGCAGCGCCGCTTTGTCTCCTCCAGGGGCAGGGGCCTCACCAGCCGGATTTCCTGCAGCACAGATGGCTTCCTGATCCAGGCTTCCGCTTGGTTACCAGCATAGCAGATGGCCACATGGTTTCCCTGGAAGCAGAGATAACGTGGAATGTTCTTAACCCAAGATGATCCAGAAAAAGCTCTACTCGGAAACAGCGAGGAAGGGGAGCAGGAAGACTGGGAAGAAATCAGCCTAAGAAAGGGATCATCAAGCTCCTCACTGCCCAAGCCAGCCTGAGGGCGGGCTCTATGCAATGTCCAGGCACTGAGCTAGCTGCTCAACATAAAATATCCCATTTAAGAGGCATCACAGTCCTACAAGGTGGGAATGATTGGCTCATTTCAGATAGGCCCACCGAGGTGAGATAACTTGTCCAAGGTCACACATTTGTAGGTGGTATAGCCAGAATTTGAACATCTGACTCCAAGAGCACACTCTTTCGATTCTACGATAATGTCCCCTTATCATTCGGAGGAATACTGAGTTGAGGTCTTAAGAGTACGCCTGGAGTCAAAGCCCATTTCTACCTATTTCAAAACCCATTTCTACCACTTAATACCTGAATAACCTTGAGCAAGGGATTTCATGCCTCCAAGCCTCCATCTCCTCATCTATCCAATGGAGATTAAAAGTAATACCTATCTCATATGGTTGTGTCAAGGGTTAAATCAGTTAAAACATGTAACCCTGTTTACTCAATGCCTGGCACATATCAAGTGTTGAGTATGTGACATCTCTTATTGTTATTACCTATTACGTCTGCTTGTACAGAGTCACTCAATCACCACAGAAACATAGAAGAACCTGGAAAGATCTGGGTAGAAGAAGGGGTACAATCTGGACACAAGAGATGGTAAGCCTCAGAATGAGTTGAATGTCAACCCAATATCTGCCACTTTTAGTGTGGAATTAATTGCAGAGGACTCAGGACTGTGACGGGAGTTCCAAAGAGGAAGGGATTCCTGTGGGATTATGGAAAGGATCCTCGGAAGAGGTGGTGCGTAAGTTGAGCCATGAAGAATAAGAAGGTTCCAGATGGGGTAGGGGAGGGGCAGCAGCCATGGCATTGTCTGAGGATGAAACACACATGGCATAATCAGCAAGACCCACTGGATGCATGTAGGATCTAGGCCAAGAAAAAGAAAAAAGGTTCTGAAAGTAGACTGTGGCTAGGCAGTAGTGAGCCTTGAGTCCCTTGTTAAAGAGTCTGGAAACCATCTTACGGTCAACAAACATGGGGAATGATGTTGACTGTATGATGCATGATGTTTGAGGGAGAGGAGGGGAAACATTTTAGGAAGATTACCCAATAGCGATATGCTATAGATTGTTGGTTTCCATCTCTAAATGGCAGGTTGACTACCATATAGTACACAGTTTTGTATGAATGGAGGTCCTTAGGGTTTTATGGGTGATAATATCCAAGGAGGTTTTTTGTAGCTTGAAAACTCAAGCAAACATTTAGAAAAATAGGTTCAGCTGCCTAGGGAATGACTTGGCTCCAATCTTTGCTAAACCTAATTTAGAGCAAGGAACAAGTCTTCCCTTGCTTGGAGCTTTCTGTCCTTACTCTGTGGGGCTTTCATTTGAAAGAATAAATATCGAGATATATATATATATATATATATATATATATATATATATATATATATATATATATATATATTTTTTTTTTTTTTTTTTTTTACAAACTATTCCCCCAAGGGACTTGACCTTCTGAAGGAGTGCTAAGCACAGGCACCATAATGGTTGAAGGAATGGAAAAGAGGGTAAGAATGGGTGAGCAGGAATCACACTGCAGGCTTCAGCAGCTGCCACTGTTTACACTGGAGAAGCATCAACACACACTACTGATTTATCAGTGCTAAAGCACCAAGGGTGAAATAATCCATGCTCTAGGACTATACTGTCCAATACGATAGTCACTAGTCCCATGGTGCCAATTAAATTTAAATTAATTAAAATGATATAAAATTAAACAATTCAGCTCCCCAGTCACACTAATGTTTAATAGTCATGTGATGGTGGTGGCTACTATATTGGACTGAGCAGATCCGGAATAGTACCGTAGTCTTAAAAAGTTCTATTTGACAAAGCTGAGTCTAATATAGTAGCCAGCATAAGCATCCCCTGGGAGTTTTTTAGGGAAAATGCAGAATCTCAGGCCCTACCCTAGAACTGATGAACCAGAACCTACATTTTAACAAGGGCCCCAGGTGATTCATATGCACATTAAAGTGGAGAAGCACCAGTCTGGAGTCACAATATTACCTGGTTTTTACTTGGAGAAAGTCGCCCTATGTAGAATGCCCTGCCTGGCAGAAAGGACATGCAGGGAATGGGACAGATACACACACACTAAGACCCTCCTGCAGCCACCTTGACCTCAGAAGTACCTGGTAAAGCCCTACGGGGCATAAAAGAGCTCTTTCACCTGCTGGCTCTTGACAAAGGAGCTGAAGTCCCCAGAAATCATCACACTAGATGAGTTGCTGCTGTGCCCTCTTGACACAGGTGTGCCTCGCTGGGATGGCTGTAAAACAGGACACCATTCAGTCACTCTCAGTAGCATGATCAAGCATTGAACACTGTGAAGTTTATAGATGAAGACAATAAATGCCAAGGTCACACAGATAATAGAGGGTAGAGTCAGGACTCGAACCCTGACCTCTCTGACCCGAGGTGTGAGTGCCTAACTACGGATGATGTCATGGTTAGGAGGGCAGACTCTGGAGTCAGACTACCCAAAGTCAAGTTCTGGTCTGGTACTTAACCAGATGTGTGGCCTGATGCCAGAGTTATTTTCCTAAGTGAGCATCTAACCATGCTACTTGCTGTTTAATACCCCCCACACCCAGAGGATGTCTTACAGGAACCCTGTTTTTCAAGGAGAGTCTCACCTGGAACCCTAATGTAGAAACCAGGGAGATCAGAGCTGCTTTGGTTGAAAAGGGGAGAGAAGGGCTCAGAATTCCTCCCTACCATACCTGCACCCTTAATCTATTATTCATCTCCAGAGCAGACCAGTGAGCCCCCAAATCCCCAGGGACATTTGATAATGACGTACTAATGAACCTCCATCCCCTGGTCTTAACATGCTGTAGAATCCCAGACTTGGTACTTGCCAAGTCATCTTGTTTATTTTGAAGGTCATAACTCATTCATTGAGTGAATAATATATGTAAGAACACCATGTAGGAAACTACTTCTACAAACTACAATTTTGAAAATAAAGCCAATATAACAGGAACAAGATATACATATCATGAGAGGACTGTTTGATTTTGACCCATCCCTTACCTTCACAATTAACCTGAATGTCCATTAGAACAAACTTGCATACCTCAGTCTAATTTTTGCACTTTTTAACAAGCAATAACATTCTAAAACCCTTTTTTTTGCTTTGAGATATTTAAGATTTACCTATTTGTTCAAGTATGTAAATTATGATGCAACAGTAGATCTACATATCTTATTATTCTCTTAATATCTTGAGTAGCATGTACTCCTGAGCAAATACTATGAGATTGTGAAATTGCTGATCTTTGAAATAAAATGTATTTCAGTTGTGCGTTTTTAATAAATTGAGCTGAAAGTGAAATTCACGCTCTCCTTAGCCTTCCTCCCAGGAACAAAAAGCTCTTATTAAAGTATAGAAACTCAAGTCTAGCTTTGTACTCTAAAGAGCATGTCTTACTAACATTTCTGGTAAGGCAAAAAATGCTCCAGGATAATCAATATATGCTTGCAAAGATTATACTGTTTAATATCAGTAACAAAAACAAAACAAAAAAGGAAAAAAGGAAAGAAAGAAAAGACATTTCAAAATTGCGAGCTGAAATATGTGTAAAGACAGGCAGGGCAGTGCTTTTTGAAGTTATATAAATGTTATATACTTATCAAATAATGTCATGCTTATTAAGCATGTGCCAAGCCTCCCGGGAGGCCCTGAGCACCCTACACCTTGGCACACCTTGTTCACTTCTCTCCCGACTACCACTAGCAAGTCCACTGGATCCAAATGTCACCTCCTCTCTGAAGTCTTCATGATGCTGAGACATTTTATTTCTCCATCTGCAGGGCTTCTGTCTCACCTTGTAGACACCTCTCAGAACACCTGCCTCCCTCTGAAGCCATCTCATCTGTAATGTATCCCCATGCTTTGCACTGTGCTTGGCCTACAGGAGGTGTGCGACACGTGTGTTGAGCAAATGAACCTTATTGTTTTAGTCATCAGGTTAAAGGAGTTAACGTGGTTTTGAAAAGAACTAGATGCTTTTACTATTTAGCAGGAGTTTACTGTCTACAACAGACAGTTTTACTATTTAGCAGGATATAGAGAATTTTACACCAACAGGGTAATAGAGATGAAGGAGAACTTTAGAGACCACCTGATTATTTTTAAGTATTTAGAAGCTGAGGCCCAGAAATGACATTCTCAGAGATATTCAGCAAAGAAATGGTAGGCCTAGAGCAGAACTCAGGGCTCGAGATGTCTCACTTCATAAATCTCAGCCTCTGCTGTCATAAGCTCCTAGATGATATCCCTTCCACAAATCACAAGCAGTGAGCCCAAAGTGGATGTCTGGGCCAGGTGTGGCCTCACCTTGTGCTGAGGAAGGATGGTGATGTCGTCGGAATCAATTTGCCACCAAGCGTCTTTATTTGGCCATCGCAGTTTTCCCCTCCGCATCCTTGAAATCAGGCCTATGATGACAGCTCCCAAAACAGTGATCAGGAGGGTCATCGTGAGAATCACAGTTATCATACCTGGAGGGCAGAGACATAGCACTCATTACTCAGGCCTGCCTCAGCGAAGTGGGCACATCCTTGCCCCAGCCTGGCCCTGCCAAGCAGATGCCTCAAAAGCTGCCCAGGTGTGAGTCCAAGTTAGGACACACTGAGCCCACTCAAACTTGTCTCTTCCAGGAATGCCTTTCTGACCTCCTCTTTGGTTCCCATAGCAACGACACTCACCTTCCCCTTTGTATAGAAACGTCCATTAGAGAGAAATTATAGTGATCACTCCTAATACCACCACCACCTTTTATTAAACATTTACTACATGTTCTCCTTAAAGTTGTTCTCAGGTATAATCCATCTAATTCCAGGGCCGGGTCCCTAATCATCGGGCAACACCCCCCTGTCCAGACTCTTTCTACCTCCTTAGAAATGAAGTTCCTCAGGCTCAAATCTCAGGAGCCAAGTTTCCCTGGAGCAGAGGTTCTCAACAGGGGAGGTGGGCGATGGTACCTCCCTAGGGGATATTTGGCAACTTCTGGAGACATTCTAGGCTGTTACAACTGGAGGGTGTCACTGGTACTAGTGAGTCACTGGCACTAGTGAGCAGCCTACAATGCACAGGACAATCCCCCCACACACAAACATTATCCTATCCAAAATGCCAGTAGTGCTGCTGCTGTGGAGAAGCCCTGCTTTAGCGAGTCCTTTCCTGCTACCTTCCCCAGGTGCCCACACTGACCTGTAAAAGTAGGCTGAGTTTCACAGAGCTTATTACGAAGTCCACAGCCAGGTCTGCCTTCAATAAGGGAGCCATGGGGCCAAGTAATAGTGGAGAAATTCCTCATGGGCCTTAACAACAACAAAAAACAGACAAAGGTCAGTGGCCACTTGATTTATTCTACTTGTACCTACCTCGGGTATAGCAGGGGCAAATAAAACACACATGTCATTTGCAAAAAGCAGGCCTTGACCTCTTCATTTAAATGTCTGCTGACCCATCCAATTGTCCCACCTCACCTAGACCCTTCAAATCCAGCTTTCAGGTAATCTAATTCAAGGAAACACAGTATCTTTCTGCAGGGTAGAATAGCTGACTTGACCTTTTGATTTAAACCACATCACTTCTGACTTAAAAGATGATGTGCCAATTCTGCGATGTTGCTGGGACTTTCTCCCATGTTGGATGCAGATAAATCTTCTTACAGAGCACCTTGACATTTCACAGATCAAAACATCTCCCCCCTACATGAAGAATGCCTGTTTCTACAATACTGGGGCCCTTGTTTGCCATGGTTATTTTATTTCCTGGGCCAAGCCATTTGGATACATTTAAATTCCGTAAGAGTAGGCAAGAAGAAAGTGTCATGTCAGATCTGGACTGGGGATGGTGATGGTGGAGGCAAATAGAAATTGAGTTAAGCTTTAGGCTTCCTTTTAGTTTTATCATTGATTTATAACTCAGAGAACAAAAACAGAGAGGTTTTTGTTTTGTTTTGTTTTGTTTTTATTGTTAGTTTCAGGTGTACAGAACAATGCAATAGTTACCCTTTTCACCCTCACAAAATAACAACCCCCCTCCCCCCAACCACTGCCCTCCCACCCCTGGTATCATGCTTATCTATTACAATTCCATTGAATCCGTTCCCACACTCTACTCCATGTCCTGAGGTTATATGT